TAAGAACAAATCTTCATACCTCGTATACCACGTTTCAAATGTTAAGTTATTTTCTGGATCATACACAAATTCCGTGAGACTCGATGCTAAAATCTCCATTGTTTGCTCCGGATTTTCTGTTTTCGGAACTGCTTTCATTTGCAAACACTCTTTGAAAAGTTCACGCATTGCTTCGGTGTCTTTCGCACGTTGGTTTTGCATTTCTTGGAAAAATAACTTGAATTCTTGTGGATTCATTTTTTTTTTGTGTACATATATTTTTCATGTAATGCAAAAAAAAAAATATCCTCGTCGCCACTGTTATATCTGTATAATTTAGATATTTATTTATTCAAACTAACTCCAAGTTATTATTATTTCACAAGTTCAAAATAACTGACAGAATTAAAATATTAATTGTTCTTTATCTGTCAACTGTCATCTTGGCAGAGTTGCCAACATATAGCATAAAACACTTCATGCTTACCTTGCAGGATGAATCACCTTATTACGGATAAACATAAAATCATTTTTATCAGCGTTATCAATAACGCTTTAAATAAGCAATAGTTACACTCTATTTTAATTTTTTATCAAATGCAATTAAATAAAGGGATAACATCTATCTGTCTCTTAAAATATTCTTAGGTTCGGAATAAAAACTGCATCTTACACCTACAAACCACGCAAATAAAATTATAGTCATGTAATTCTACAGGAACAGTAAAGAAATTACGACATAAAAATTTCCTCATATTTGAGCAGAGGTTCAGATGAGTAAACTGAAACACAAGCAGATATATCGTATATGCAAATAAATTTTAAGTGATGAATATGACTTTACACGACAAATCAATAAATAAAGGTTAACCTCTCACTTAATATACAAGCAAATATATAAGAGAAAACTACTGAATAAGAAATTTTAAATTTTATTAGTAAAGTTTTAGTATAATTAAAATAATCTATATAATCATATGCATAGCTCATCGATACCTAAAAAACTTCTTCAAACATATCATCACGACCTTAATTGTCTGCTGTAGTACGATTAGTAATCGAGGAAAGTCAATTGAAAGAGATAGGGTTTAAACAGAACAGGGACTAAAAAAGAAGTTTGAAACTAAAGCCTTAAAAAATGATAGCACCACACGCATATCTTTAAGGTAGTGAAAAAATTATATTAAGGACACGCTTCGTTAGGGAGTAATTAAAGTGATACTTCGTGATAAATGAAATTACAAAGTTCTGCCAATTGAAAAATTTGGTAATAAATATGTCAAAGTTGTTGATACATAAAAATCACGTAAGAATATGTTTCCACTGCTTACTTAGTATATTACTAAAGTTACTTTAAGATTTTGTCGTTTCCATTGGCATAAGTAACTAATTGCATGTGAAAGAGCTTTTATGTGTCAGATAGTTCTAAGAGAGCTTCGGTTTGTTTAAATAAACTTCAGTTAATATATTTCAGAAAAAATTAAATATATAATTTATATATCAATTATATACATATAATTGTATATATATGTAATTGATATATATTATAATAACAAAGATTATATGAAATATTTACTTCCTCAACGCACTGAGGAATAGCTTATAGCTTATCTGTAGTTTGTTTATATTTTACATATAAAACATGTGACAAATATTTCAAATTTTGATGATTTGCTTTGTGGATTATTTATTTTTAAAAGTTGCATTTGACATTTTTGGTGTAATTTTCCTTGCTTAATTTTTAAGTTAAAAAGCACGGAAGCTCTTTGTATGGTTAATGAAATTTACTGACGAGAATGCATATTATTCAGAGTGTCACATCAGTTTGTCAATTTTGTATTTTTTCTATTATATTAGTCATTTTTTATTGTACCTGAATTTAAAAGGACATGCATACCAGAGAACTGCAAAGAGTCATAATTTAACACCCAGAGTACACTCATAAAAAACCAAATCTAAATGCATATAAATGTTTTTCTCACACACTATTTATATGCATTCATATTCGCCACAGAAATGATTCGTAAGTATGTTCGTTAACGAATTCCGGTGCTAAAGAATCAACTTTACAAGAATACGTATGATTCATGAATCAAAGCATATACTCAGATGAGTACAAATATACTCATTGAAAATGAATGACTCGATCACTTGCGACGTTCGTAAAAATTTTGTGTGAGCGCTGTTGTGTTTAGTTTAATCTTTTTAATGTGTTGTTGTTGTTAGCATTATAAATGCACGTGTTTTGTTTGTGTTTTGAAATATTTCATGTGCATAATTTTAGAGATTTTACTAGCAAATTATATGCACAGTAAACAAGAACAAGCAAATTTTTCCCGACTGTGGTTTAATACTCATAAATGGCTCATTAATCATCACATGAGCAGAGTATAAATCTTTCTAAGTACTATCAGCTGTTTATATGAATCAAGTGCAGTCAAGTTAACGAAAAAGAGAGTCTGAATTGAAGTTCTCTGATACATACATACAACACAGCTTTGACAGTGCAGGGCACAGATAGTTTGGCTCTCATGACCGAATTTAATCTGACATTTATTTTTTTCTCTCACTCTGTTTTTTAATTTTCATTAAAAACAAAAACAATTTTGATTTTGACGTGCCCGTGACACTCTACATAACATGGGCCTAACACGATCAAAATTGATGCAAAAAGGTAAAAAGTGAAAGAAGAAAAGATAGTTAGAGAATATAACGGATGGATAATATATAACAGGTCTGTTACTTGTGTAAAGCACAAGTAAAGTGTAAACTGAGAGCGTAACACAAATAAAATGCTAAATTACTCTTTTTGCACAGATTTTCATGGAACAGCTTTGTGTAAAATCTGGTGAGAACACCAGTGCCGCGCAAATAACCAATACAAAAATTTGAATTCAAATCAAAACAGCTGATCACACACATCACACAAATTTTACTTGAAATAAAATGTACGAGTAAAGTCTGTGTAGCATTTTCAAATTTCGACAGAGATGTTACGCTCTCTCAGATGCTTTCATTTAATCGAAAATTTGCTGGTGGAACGCACTTGTGTATACACAGTGTTACTCAAAGTTACTACGAGAAGCTCATGTAACATTTTAACAGACCTAATATTAGCGTTGAAAATCATATACAAAAAAATAAAAGCTGCTGAACTAGTGTTCAATAAATAGTACGTGAAAATAATTTTAGAAAATAAGACTGCATTCTTAAGAATGCATTACTAGTTATATTTAAATTTTTTGAGACAGCCGCAAGTTCAAAATTAAGCTATGACGTACAAAGATAATGAATTCATAGATAAGTAGAAGAAAAATCTTTAGAAACAGGTCTTACTTACTGGTGCCCTTCTCTCCTAAGTGGAGCATAGGGCCCAGAAAGAGATCTACAAATTACTTAGTATTATATACAGTTGTAAACTACATAACCGATTAATGAACCTATCAAAAAATAGATGACCAAAAATGATTTCCACCAAATAGTTTTAATTAGTTTTAATTTTGTTAAAAAAATGGTTAAATACAAAAAAAATAATTTTGTTTATAGATAAGTACAAGTAAACTTATCTATGAACTTGCTAAAAGAAGGGATTATTTTTATAAGAAATATAACATAAATACAATTATCACTCTATTTTAAACCCGTGGAGTAATACTAAGACCATGAGATATGCCATTACTATCGCTGAGGAATCTTCAAGGAATAGGCGAAATGTAATACATTGTAATACAGTCAAATCCAAGCAAAAGTAAAGTATGAATTAATTGTTCTGTACGAAGTCAGTTGACCCGCATTCGATTAATTCAATAAGTTCTTAAGTCAGCTAATATAAACATTGAGCAATTACATTGTATATCCTTGCGTACAAACTATTTTGTGATCAAATTGATCTTGCATTATTTATGTTTTTATGTTATTTTGCGTGTTGTACTCTGTTTTAACTAATTACTTCTTTTGCGTTCAGCTGTTTATATTTCTTACGTTGTTTACATCTACAACTAATTTAGCACGGTATCAACTGAATTTAATGAGAATTTTTACATTCTCATCGACCAAATCGGTTACGGATGAATATATTTAAAAATAGGTCAGTGTAATCAGAATAGTCATAATCCATAAATAAATCTACAACTCCCTATCGATACAAGATTTTCAAATATAAAATTATTTTATAACATTATATACGTAAATAGTATTATGCTAATACCTAAAATAAATTAAATATTATGCATTAAATTAATTTTCATGTCCTATTGTGATAATAAAGTAATAATTTAGAGGTTGGCGGGATATGGGCAATAACCTAAATGCAGATTTTTCAGTGATATTTCTGATAATAAAAATTTAAATATTTACAAATATTAACAAAAACATTATACAAGAAAAATTTTTAACTCTTACTTCTAATGATGTAATAATATGATAAACAGCAATTTGATTAGACTAAATCTAACGAATCAATAAAGGAACAGCAAATGTCTAAAATCGAAACCAAATCTAACTCAAACCCCTAGTGCGCTGCTTTATATGCATATGCAAAAGGCAAATTTTAGAAGCAATCATGGCATTATAATAAAGTCTGTCCTAGCTCATCACTGCGACAAGTACCTTTAATATTCCTATACGGTACCTTATACGGTAACTAACCGTAACGTAGAAAACATCCTACATGGGCTTTATAACATAAACACAAGAAAACAAATTATAAATTTGAATATATTTACAATGTACATGCGACAATGTACATCTACTACATAGGTGAAATGATTTAAAATTTTATGTATATATACATATATGTTACTGTAACTAAAGGGTACATTAGAGGGCCAACTGTTTTGGAGTTATTATTGGCTTGAATATTTGGTAGGATGTGATTTATGAGTATTTTTAATGTATAAAAACAAACATATATTTAGTTTTCACTTCTGTAGTGAAGTGCAATGTTATATTAAACTCTGTTTCACATTTGAATGTACACAAATTGTTCGTGTTGAAAAATGGATACATAATTTCTTTCTTACCTGTAGTCTTCCCGAGCACATCTTACCGGAAAACAGCTGCAGGAATCAATATTGTCCTTTGCCGTATTGAATTACAGAAATAAATTTATTTGCATGATCTTACGAAAAGTTTAATGTATTTATTAGAAAGTTAATCAATATACATTATATAACTTTCCAACACCGGGAACTGATATAGGAAAGCGAATCTGTCAGGTTTCTGAAGTAGTTTACGCATAGGAATATATAACAAATTATTTATTGCACCCACAGGACTATTTGACTTGAGCTTGGTATATTCAACATTAAAGAAACCGGAATCAATAAAAAATGTCAAACACATAATTATTTACATAAGCTTGTTTACGCACATATGCATTAATGAAAATACATTAAAAACAGCAATTTCACTACGTAATACTACAAATACCAAAATAATTTATACCTACATCGATAAATTTATACCACAGAACGTTGTCAAACATGAACGACATATTCTATGCACCTGTCATACCGTATTCTATGCAGCTAACAAGACCTTCAAAAAAATAGAAACACTTGACCAAAGAACAATTCACAAGAATGGTACCTAGCAAAGATAATAAAGAAAAGAAACTTCGATGATATATTGAAAAACTGGACCTCTGTGTAATATCGCAAAAAAGTTTCTCTTATTTATTCATCATACCAGAACTGTCATATATTATTTATGTCATATATTACTGTCATAAATTTGCTCTTATTTAAACAAACATCATGGAGAATAACATGTTACATCTCTCTATAAGCGCTTTTACACCAAAATTGAAATGACGCCATTTGGATTTATTGTTATATTGATATAACAGTAAATGCAATCACATTATGATCTCTCGTTTGACGTTTTCATACAAGATTTTTAATTCTTAACCTAAAAATCCCGATTTTCTTATAATATGTTTACACTGCTTTTTTATTACATGTAACTCATTAAGTAAATTTCCTAAACCATACAAAGAGCTTCCATGTTTTTTATAACCATGTTTCCAATGCTTATTTAGTAAGTATATCTTAAGCAGGATATAGACGATGCTACAGGTATGCAGACTAAATATGCAGTTCAAGTATGCGCTTTGATATACACTTTGAAACTAGGTATACATACTTCATTTTGATTTATTTTCTACAGCGTGCATAACAACAGCAGAGCAAGTACAGAATGCAAAACAATAGTTGAAACTGAAGAAATTGAGGTGATGATAAGAGTAACAAGTTATTTATTTCATTGTATAAAGATTTCATATTTCTTAGAATTAACCATAATTTTTTGTTGTTGTTGTTGTTGCTGGCGTTCTTATTTTAATTCTTAAAACTAAAATTATTTTTAATTCAATTCTTTATAATTATGTATTTTAATATTTTTATTCATAAAATAATTTTTTAAATATATAAGCTTTTTAATAATTTATTGTAGCACATTTTTTTCGAATTTGCTATTTTTAAAGAAAATAAGTATCAAGCACTTTTTCAATTATTTTTGTTTTGTCACTAATTAATAATTTTTTCCGCGATCTTTGCTCGTCCGACGCTCACCACAGTGCGATTTAGTAGTATGCATACTTGGTCCGCATACATGTAGCATCGTCTATATCATGCTTAACAGTTCACTTTTTTCAGATTGCCTAAATTACTTGAATTTTAAGTAAGTCAACTGATCTAACGAAGTCAGTGGAAACTTACCATAGGTAAATCTCATTAAACATACAAAGAGATTTATTGCCTTTTGCCTTTAAACTTACATATAAATCAAAGGAATTTAGACCATAAGTGGCGAAAGCTATTAATACTTAAAAATAAATTTCACACAAGAGAAATTACCAAAATGTGACATATTTGTCATGTGTTCTATGTAAACAAACAAAAATTGAGCTGTATACAGAGTAAATATTTATGGTATCATGATATATAAAACTTACGAACGCACACTAGAAATATCAGAGTTTTTAATAAATACATACTTGAAACTCTCGTTTAAAAAAATTCTTAAATGGGGCACACGGTACATCGGGATTCATTTATTCAATTTATTCATGCGAATTAATCACTCCTGCAAGACTGTTCTGTTCAAGTTTTACTAAATTGTGTAAATTCAGGGTGTATAAATTTGGATATTGGCGTCTAGCGATAACGCACATTCTTTAGGTTTTAATTAATCTTACCATAAATTTCATTATATACCTTTATCTACTTTCAGATTCATTTACTTTTAGTTTTTAATTTCATTCTTAATATTTTGTTTTAAGTTGTTTTGGTTTAAATCAGGGTTTGTATTTGCTCACTCATGAGCAGCTCAGGCTTATGAGCAATAGCCAATTTTTATGTAAGCCTAATAATAATAATAAAAGAGTATACGTGAAAATTGCCCAACAGCCGGTACTGCGGCCAGAAGAGACCTATTGTACCAGTTTCACTATTGATTAAACAAAGCCCCTTAAAGCTTTGTGAATAAAGTCTAGAACTAAATCTAGAGAAGAGTTCTTAATCTGTTCTGGTGACAGAAATTCCTTATGAAACAGGTTTCTTCTGTGCGTTATTAAAGCTGGACAGTCACAAAGAATGTGCATGGTTGTTTCCTCATTTTCGAGGCATAATCTGCATTCCGAGTTAGCAGATAATTGTAGTTTATGAAGGTGATATTTCAGACCATAATGACCTGTAATGAAACCCGTTATCATCCTTAAATTACATTTTGAGAACTTAAGAATGTTTTTGTAGGAGTAAGGTGTTATCAGTGCTTTGCTTTGTCTGAGTCCTGGAAAGTTTACCCAGTACTCTAGCCGCATATGATTTTCCATTTCCTTGATAATCTGTTTTGTACTGGCCCAGTTTATTCCACAAAAGGGTTGAGGGCCTATAAAAGCAGTTTTTGATGCAGTTCTTGCTAGCTCATCAGCTTTTTTATTTCCCAAAACTCCTCTGTGGCCCGGAACGCAGTAAAGGTTCACCTTATTCCGAGCTGCAAGTGATTGCAGAAGCTCGTAACACTCAAGGACCTGTTTTGATTTGAAAGTCCAAGAAGAAAGAGCTTTAAGAGCAGCCTGGCTGTCAGAGTAAATAACAATTTTCGAGCCAGAAGGTTTTTTGATTAAATTGGATCTTATGCATAAGTTGATTGCGTGGATTTCAGCTTGGAAGACACTCGTAAGCCTAAAATTGGCTTATATTGAAGAGCTGTTTACCAGCGCTAGCCTTCAATTTGCTCATATTGAAGAGCTGCTCATGAGGGCTCATGACCGGAGAGCTCAACTGCTCAGTAAAACCCGATTTATTTTTGATTAGTTTATTTGCTTTAATTATTTTTGTATACGTTTCTTGTTATATGAAAATATATAATTTAAAATTAACTTAACTTGTTATAATTTATATTAAAACAATAGAATGAAACAATACTACATTGTTTTTCGCATTGTAAACAAATTGTTTTATTGCATTCATGTAAAACTTTGATATATTTATTTTTTTATGTTCAAATTTTGCGAAAAACAATTTCACATAATTTAAAACACTTGAATTAATATAAAACTATTAATTAAGTAAAATCACAAAATTCAAATAAAAAGTGGCACGTGCCAAATTGTGTAATGAAAACAACAACAATGCCATATATTTTTCATATTCCTTCATGCAGCACATTCTTGTAAGCAGCGCATGAGGTCTCATGAGCCTCAGTTCGACTATTGCTCTCGGGCAAGATGGCGGCTCTTACTCACGAGCGTGAGCTCTGCAATTGAGTTCGCTTGTAAGCGTGAGGCATGGTACGAAAAAAGCTTCTTGCCGGTTTATGAGCCGTGATCAAAATGAGCCGAAAGGAGCTGCTCATGGGTACGCAAATACGAACTCGGATTTTTATTATTTTAAAATTTTGCAACTTTCTACTATTTCATTTTATTTTCTTTTAATTTAAATTAATTTTCAATTAAAATAATTTTAAATTATTAAATTATTTAAATTTGGTTTATCACACTTGGTGCGCATTCCCGCACGGCAAAGAGAATTTCACAACGAAAAGGTTTTCTGTTTGTTGTGTTATCTGTGCGCACTGTATGTGAACAATTCTACAATTTATTTTATTTTTTATAAACATTTGATATCCTTTTATTTAATTAATTTTTTATTTCTCTATATTTTACTTTCTATTTTACTTTTTTTCTTACTTTGTATTTTTAATTTTATCATCAATTTCAAGTGCTATTGGTTGTACTTAAATTTAATTTTTATTTCAAATTTATACTACTATCAATTTTAGTTTCTTCCGTTAGTTCGATTATTCTTTTATTTATTTTGATTGCTTTGTCTATTTTAATTGTTTTGTTTGTCTTGTTTGTTTTGTTTATTTTACATATTTTATTCATTTTATTTATATTATTTATTTATTTTATTTATTTACTCTATCTTATTTTATTTTATTTTACTTTTTTATTTTATATTTTGGTTGCATATATGTGCTTGCATTTTATATATAATTGTCACCAGCTCTGCTACCATTTAATCTAACCTTGTTTTTTCCATTACTTTAAATTTAAATTTTGAAACCGGCATACGCCCACCTATTCTCCTTTATCTGTTGCGCCTGTCCGTCTGTCTGCTTGCCTACAAGCTTACTCACCTATAAGCTTACCCCGTTGCGGATATGAAGGTCCGCCCACCGAGTAGCGGCAGCCGCTGCTCAGGGGAGCTTGATTCCAACATTAAGCGTTGCAAGACATCCTCTTTTAAATCTGTAAAGAAAGTTAGTAATCAAAAAAGATTTGAAGTCCTGTCCAAACCGGTTGAAGAAATTGAAAAATTGAATCAATCCCTTCCGCTTGATAATGTTTTTTTACAAAAATTGCAAAGAACTCAGGGCTACTTTTGTGGATAACATTCCACAATTCCCTCCGCTCCAAAGTCTGGCTTCCTTCGGAACTTACCTTGCCTGAGGAAATTCTCTCAATTCTAAAGGCCAGTATTGCCGATATCCCCACACATGACTGGAAAGCAATAAAGGTTAGCGATCCCAAAGGCGACTTCATCGTAGCACTTGTGGTTCTTAACGAAGAATCTTTCGCCCTTCTTCAAGCCCGCAATGTGGTGATCAACTATGGCTTCGGGTTGGTCATCTTTCCGATATATAAAGCCGAATCCCAAGAAGTTAAGTAACAACCTTCTAGGGTTGCATCTTCGGAATCGGCCTCTGATGACAGAACCGATGCCACTTCAGAATCCAACACTCCCCATGAAAGGACATCTGATAAAATCAATACCCTTTCCTTCGAAGACGGAGGTAGCATAATCTTGTCTTCCCAGCTGGCTCCGATCTCTTTACAGGTATGGTGCTATCCTGCGAGACCTCACCGATGTCTGTCATTAAAAATATTTGGTCTGTTAATGGATGGATGTTGTTTCACTAAATTATATCAATGTTGTGATAAAGCGCGTACAACTCATACGAACTTACGAAGAACTTTTCTCTTGAACACTCCAAGTAGTGCTTCATCACTTCGTCCCAATTGCCTACTGAGCCCATAGTAGCATTTATTAGCAATAATGACTCTTCGTATGATCTTCAGGCTGATATCGGTGTTGCTTGTTACGGCGGCGCCAAGGTAAAACAATCCCTTGACAAATACGAAAGTATAGTCGCAAGAAACTAGCTCGGCATCACAAGCAAGGAGCGATGCATATTTCTAGCAGTATCCGACATATACTTCGTTTTGCCCTCTATTACCGCTAAGCCCATTCATGCAGATTCCTTTTTCATAGAAACAAAGGTAGCTGTAACATCAATCTTGCAAGGAGCTGGACACATTTGTATAGTATTGATCCATTATGATAAACATCTATTCTACGAAATTAAAAAGATCACATGATAAGGAATCACTTTGTCTAAAGCCTCACACGGTATCGAAGGGTTCGAAGAGATTTGATCCTATCGTGATGGAACTATGGGTATTGCTCAACGTCATTCTGTAGAGCAGTATTACCATTTCAGGGATACCGAGCTCAGAAATTGCGGCGTAAACGGGTTATCGAACACTGCTTTACAATCAACAAAAAAGTAGTGAGTGTTGATGTTATGTTCGTGTACTTTTTCCAGGATTTGTCATAGTGTGAATATTTGGTTAATGGTGGAGCGACCAGATCGGAAGCCATACTGATAAGACCCAATCAGTGAGTTGGCATGCACACTCTGTGTATATTTAACTAGATTACAGGTTTAAAGCCTTGAGTCAGACTGTTGACTCTTTGATTGAATTTATGGTCATCATTGGAACGAGAGTTGGTTGTTTATTCGGCTAGAGCGTTGAGCGGCGAAGACTTCGGTTGTCTTACATAATAACAGCTTAACTACATCAAGCTTTTCTTGTGCATGGGAGCATACGTTGTTGGTGACGTATTTTGGCTGCAACAAGGTAGTTGTCTGAATCAATATGTGAACCACGGAATGAACCTAGGTCCAGCACACTTGAAGCGTACATTGCGTCAATCACGAAGTAATAAATCTGGTTAAGTGTTGATTGATCGTGAGATAGCAGGCTGCCTTATAAATATAGCGGTGTAAGATTCTGGTACTTCCACTTATTACACCGCAACGCAAGTTACAACCTGGATAGGGAAATATCCAGGGATGCCACATGGAGTTCAGATAGTAGGTAGGGACATGAAGATCTAAAATTTTACATAGATACCTACCGTGACGGCGATGCGTGGAGACAGTGCGATAACTTGGATTGAGGACAAGGTTTGCACTGATATTTTCCATGTTAAATTCCAAAGGTTTCCATTAAACTGCTCGATGATGACTGCCTTACAAATCAATGGAACCTTAAGTTCCACTCACACCAAAGCTGCTTTCGCTTTACTTAATTGATCGCTTTATCGGCTTCCATTGAAACAGCAAGCTAAATTTGTGGTAACCAGACTCAATTCTCTCTCTCCGTTATTCATTTACTTTAACAGAGACCTTGACCTCTACATAAATTGGTTTCTTTTAACATGGTAGCTATTTACAGTGGAAAATGAATGTCTGAGAACAAGAATTCTACTCTCTGACATTCATTTCTCGGACATTGATATACTACTTATAACGACCAAGCTGGTAACCAACAAAAATATATGAATATAGCTAACCAAACTTGGGTAGATAGGATTCATTGCATAGGTACCGTAGTAGTGAACAGATTAGTTGAAGCAGTACATTTCTCAACCAGTTAAGACTAGGTTAATTATTATAATGGACAATAACCGTCATCGGTTACGAGAAGATCAGAGTTCTATGAACCTCTTCCTACAGAAATAACAGAGCTGTCATTCTTCAAAATTAAGGACTTGGTCAAATATATAGACTCTTCAGAATGATTCACTTCAATGGACGAATCGTACCTCACAGCATTATTCACACGCTGACCACTGCGGTCCCTTCGGAAATCATTTTGGTCCGCGTATGAACAAGGCTGATCTGTGGTATTACAACGAGCCATTTTTTGTGTTCAAGTGGGCTTCACACAAAAGACCGTCGCTCCAACCTAACCTAATCTATCTACATATATAATAGTGACTTCAGTTTATTTCAGACCAAAATAGTTTGATGCGTTTGGCACGCACAATTTGTACTTCTTTGGACATTCATATGATATCGTTATCCCTACAGATAGTCTGAATAAGAAAGATTACTAAAATCGTATGTTTCTTTGCACTAGTTCTATTAATTGTTTATAAGAAATTAAAATACAACATATAATTTATAAAAAGATAAACATCTATCACTTGACTGCGTTAAAAATGTTTTGTTAGATTTTTTAGCAATTAGACGCGGGCTACAAAATTGAAATGGAATTTGACAAAAATCCGATCGTAACGAAGATAATCATGCGTCTACACTATTTGCATGACTTTTGCAAACACCTTCAGTTTTTACTAATATGGCGTTTACATTGGCCGAAAATGGCTCATTTTGAATGACCCATTTGAAAGTGTTTACATTCGTTGTAATTCGTTTGTTTTCATTTTAAACAGCTGATTTTGCAACTTGCTTGTTGATTTGATTTTTGGCCTGTGCCAAAAAAATATTGCATGAAGGTTAAATATGCTTTCAAACCTTACAATATAAACTTAAAACATATTTTTAACTTCCATTAATTACCTTTTAGGAAGTAGAAGTTCTAAAAAGAGGTGCATCGTTTTCAAGAAAATGCAACCACCAAACATTTGTTTACCTTTTTTTGTAAATATGTCAAAATGCTATGAAAAGCTTTTATTTATGGTATGTTCAATGGATTCCTTTGCACTTGGAACATATGTGGAATGCATTCGAACGTCTTTCATACAGAATGTGAGAAAATTGCTCATTTTTGCGCTTGAAATTTTATATGCAAGAATGACTCATTTTCGATTTTTGACCAAAATGAGCCATTTTCGGCCAATGTAAACGCCATATAACACATTTTAGGTTTTGATTGTAAAATTCAAAAATAATACGTATTTTTATTTAAGCATAGATAACTTGACAAAGTCTAGATAATAAACATACAGAATAAACAAACTAAGCTTTGGAAAGTTTTTTCAAACATTCTATTTTTTCACTAATGCATACAAATATGATTTCGCATTTGAACAAATACCAAAATTTATTCAGTGTAGATGCGTAATTGACTAAGCTGAATTAACACTAAATTATTTAAAAAAGCAAATTGAAAAACATATGAAATATATAAACAAAACTCTTCTTACGTTCTGCCTCAATTTTGACAGAACAACAGCAATCAATTTTTAAATTTCTGCATTTTAGTTATTTATTTGAGATTAAGGTACGATCCAAGATTCCAGCACACGTCTTTGACAATGGGTTTTTAGTGAAAACAGCAACTTTCGATAACTTTTTCAGCAACCTTATTGTTGAATTCTCAAGATATATCTCAAGATATTCATAAAATCACGAATCTGAAATCAAAAAATTTTTTGCAATTTTTAGTTTTCGAGAAAACTGGTGTTCGATTAATCGAAAAGCGGGCGCTTAAGCGCATTTTTTTACTTTTTGTCAATGTATAACATTAACAGAAAAGTAACAATTATTTGAAAAAAATATCCGATTTTCATTTTTAAATTAAAGTAAGATATCAAAATACAAAAAAAAATTGTTATTCAGAGTTCCTCTATCCAGCTCCTCCATTTGTCTTGCGTGTTTGTACATATGATTTCTCATGCGAACACATTGCATGTTGCGATTACTTTTCTTGTTAATTGACAGTTCTGTTTTGTTTGTTTTGAAAAATAAATAGATAACGAAGATGATACATATTTAACGGAAAATTCATTAACATTTATTTATTACTTTCAAATAACAAAAGATAAATTCGGGTGCACGATTTTTATTCTTCAAGGTATAAAAATGCAGAATTTGTCTATTCCTCAAAGAAAGAAAGTAGCACATCGTATTCCGTTTCCTAAAAGTAGTAAATGTTTTCAATTTATTTCCATTCATAAACTCAAAATTATGTGAAAACAACACACACCTATCAATTTCGCTATTTACACCTTTCATTTTGCACGAACGCGTGAATTTCAAACAAAATATTTTGTTTAATCAAATATTCGCATGAGAGAAACAACACGTCGCGCGAACTGTTCTTAGGAACTATAACCCCTAACATATGATTGTATACATTTGATTTGTTAGCACGAGCACGCAAGACCAAAATCGCATTTAATATAACCGCAGCCTTAGACGGCGGATGAAGTTTTTGTTAGTAATTTCAATAGTTAATAATTTTAAACATCGATATCTCGAGAAGTAAGATATATCGGTTATATTGTTGTCGAAAACTTTGCTCAGAACAATTGACACATCTAAAATCCGTTGCCTAAAAAATATCAGATTTAAATTTTAACATTCATCTTTTTCATTTAGCATCTTCAAAATGTTTCACATCTGTCAATTTAGCTTTTCGATTACCTGTATATGCATATTAAAATATGTACTATAACTTTAAAAGAAACAGATATGTACTATATATAAGTATTTCTCTCATTTTTATTTCATTTAATTATAAGTCTCACTGAACAAAATAAATATTCTTGCATCTTACCATAATACATTTGTTTAATTTTAATATATATCTAGCATACAATAATTAAAAATATTACTTACAAGTTAATTTGAAGTATTTTATAAGGCTATATTGAAAAAAATTACATGCATAAAATAATATATACATATTATAAGATTGTCAAAACAATTTTTATTCGCCCCAATCATTGCTTATATTTGGTTCTTTATGAGTATGTGAACTTTCACCTGAGCAACGTATTAAATCACAATCATCAATAAATTCAACATGCGTGAAAGGAAAGTGACCTTGACCTTTTTTCCCTTTTATCTCTCCTTCCCATTGACCATTTATATTTGTTTTTGTGACCTTTATAATATCTCCAACTTCCAGTTTTAGCGCCGTTTTATCATAAGCATTTGGAACTCGAGCTTGCTTTACGCGTGCAAAAGCAGGTAGTTTTCGCTGCAAATATTATTAAAAAGTAATTAACTGACTATAACTAAAATACAATCGATTACATTTAAATCTGATTTTTTTAGAGTATTATTTAAACGCTGACAGTTTCCATGTGCATCGCTAGACCCACTTATACGAGCTGCTGCTGCGTTTCCACCATTGCAATCACTAAATAAGGAGCGATCATGGTAACAATCATCAAAATTTTCATCGTACTAAAAAAGTTTAATTAAAGATCAGTTTTTTTATATCCATTAATTATGTTGTAAATAAATTCTTCTTTATTAAAGATCTTTCTATTACAAACCTTTTAAAGTTGTATATATAATTTGATTCAATCTAAATGTGTCGATTTAAATATAAAATTATTTGGATTCTTAAATTTAATAACCTATTTCTTGAAAAAGATTATTTAATATTGAGAAACTCGTAATAAAGAAATGAATATTTTATAACACAAATTAATTCAAAAGTGAATCACATAAAGGTACATATCGTTTTTATGTACTTTCCGGCTTTCGTTTCTATACTAAACAAATGCAAAAAGATACAAAATACACGAAGTTGCCAATACTGTTTTTGAAAATACTCTCCTTTATGATTCATACCACTTTTATATATGTTTAAATGACTTGTAATAGAATTCTCTACTATTCCACTTAAGATATCTTTGATATTCGGAAACCAAGAAAAATCTAGGCCGATTTACGACCCATGTATTGGTATTTCTCATTTCTCAAAATGTTTTTAACAAACAAATGTACTAATTAAAATCCGTTATACCGACATAATTGTTTTAATGCGCTGCTACTACATTATTGAACCGCAGCTCACCATTTGTTTGAAAACGCCTCGAGCGTGAACAAATTTATTTTGCTGGTTTAGAATCGTTGCAAAACACCCACAGTGGACTGCTGTTGAGTTTCACATTTTAACATCATTGCTAATATGGCTTTACCATTTTCCTTGTTATTTCAATACGTTTATTTTTTTAAACATTTGTCAAATTATATGCGTTCCAACAAAAACAAATATTTACTAAGGATAAGCAATCATGCAATATTTTATATATGTGATCTAGTCTTACCCCAATGGCATAATATATTACGCAAAGATTTTGCGTAATTATATTCAGCACAACATCAAAGTGTTTACCACAATAACTGATTCTAAACAATCTTCACAAACTATGGTCTCAAATGAACGACTTTTTAGACTGAACTCGTAACACAAACGCTTAACAGCTGCTAGTAAGTTTATCAATGCGCTCTTGTCTTGCTGATTTGAAAATCGTTATGTCACAAAAAACTGTTCACAAGTATATTCCGATTTTTAACTAGACAGATATAACTCAACTTATTGTAAGCAGTGCAAATAAGGTATTTGTCAAAAATAACAATTTTCCAGTGATATGTTATACCGGGATAGGCGATTGAAGTGTTTCCTATTTAAATTACAAAAATTTGTAGAAATAAAATATTTCAAAATTCATTCACTCCACCTCGATGTGGCCATCATTTGGTTTTACTTTGACTGTGACCTTCAAACGGTTCAAAAATGAATTGCATGCTTCACGAATGTGATCTTTCCGTATATTGGCCCATTCCTGAGCAATAGCTTTCTTCAGCGCATCCATACTGGCATATTTTTTAGTCCTCACCTTGCTCTCCAAAATTACTCAGATGGAATAATCCAGCAGATTTGCATCTGGTGAATTCGAAAGTAATTGTGTGGACGAAATGAAGTGTATAACATGATTTTTTAACCATTCTTGATCCGCACGAGCTTTATGTGATCGAGACTGATACCGAGTCTTGTTGAAACGTCCATGGTCTACGATCGAAATATTTGCGTACCTACGGCTCTAAAGCAACTTTCAAAACATTTTCCCGATTGACTTTCCTGATCTTTTAGACTTTGACACCAGGCTTGATCAAAACCACTGAAGAACATCCACTGGCGGTCATAGCTACCCATACCATTACTTGAGGTGGAAAATTACTTCGGATGGCCATTTGTAGTCTCAAATTTTAGACAGTGCTTTCAGTTAATTAATTATGAACACTGAGAGTTTTGGAACTCTCAATTTTTCCCATCAGATAACACAATGTTTGGAAATGCGCCACGTTCGTTCAAAGGTAACAACACATTTACTACTTCGAGCCTAACTTTTTGTTGCTTTGGTGTAAGATCTTGTGCCTTTTGGAACTTGTAAGGCTTTATCTCGAGCTCACTTAGGAATATGCGTCGGATGCTTCGCTGAGACACTTTCAGTTATTTGGCCATTTGATTACCACTAGGACGTGGATTTCATTTAAGTCGAGCCTTCACTTTCAAAACCATTTCAGGTTATGTTGCTGTCTTTTTCATCCAGCACCTTATCGTTTGGGGGCGCTGTCTGTACTATTATAACGATTTATCGTACGATACACAAACATTTTATTCACTTTGTGGTGTTTAAGCTCACAAAGTATAGCTGGTTGCGATTTTCCAGCCAAATATAACGCAATTACACTATTACGTTTGAATTTTATTTCGAATAAATTTTGTTATATAAAGCTGAGACGCAAATGCTTGATAGCTTGTAAGCAATATAAACAGCTGTCATTCGTATGAATTTCACGTAGTTGGCAATATCAGTGTGACAAATGTAACTTCAATCACCTAACACTATATTTGATATCACTGGTCACTGAATAGTAAAAATGTTTGTATTCCTTAAATTTTATATTTATTATAACAGAATAACAGATTGTTAAGTTAAACAATCGAATCAACATGTTTATTTACATGTAATTTTTAGTTGTTTTAATCACTGTGTTTTTTAATTAAAACTTTAACATTAAACATTTTACCAAAAGTTTAGCATACTACATAAAAGCAATATAAAGGCCTAATATATACAAAACAAAGTATATATACGAGCTTACCTCGTAGTTGGTTCAGGTGCAGATTGCAGGAAAATGATTTGTGACGATAAAAAATTCTTACGCAACAATGTTCGTAGGTCGGTGTTATATAAAAAACGAATATAAAATTTTTATGCAATATTGAGATGAATCTCAAAAAATCAATGTTAAAGCATCATAATTTCTCAACTTATTTAAGACAACAAGCATATAAGATGCCAAATTAAACGATGTTTAATATTGGATGTGTTTTGAAGGTTTTTTGCACGAAATGTCGATGTATAATGAAAACAGAAGCCCATATCATTATATTTCATGACGAAATGAAAGTGTTTCAAAACGAAAAATTTGTTTATGTATATAATATGAAAACAATATAAAAATTCAATAAATTAAAAATAGTTAAACATGCATTTTGATTTACTTGTATGAAAATTATTTGAATTAAACAAATACATATTTTTTTTGTATATTTCCTCTACCGATCAGACTTCTCTTGAAGTGTTTAAAAGCTTAAGCTTAACTTGCAAGCAGTTTTCATTATGCTTGTAATCGTTCAAAAGTATTACTAATATTATCTATTACGTACTTCTAAAATATGTTCAATTATTTTAAATAATTAAATAATTAAAACTAATATTAAATAATGTCAATAATGAATTATACAATATTTCCTGTAATCCGTTACATAAAAATTTTTTGTGACATGCATAAATATTTAATATTTTGATAGTCACTCAAAAAAGCTCATTCTGATATATTATTATCCAAGAATATCAAAATTTGTTGAATAAGTGTGAATAAGGATATATATACAAGGAATATTGTATTAGTTTTATATTTCAAGTTTGAGTACCTTTTGTACATAGGGTACAGGAATTTGACCTGTTTGTCCTAGTGAATTTTTGGCAGTCCACCATTGATCTTCATCCTTTCTTATAACAGTAAGAATATCACCACGTCGGAACGGTAAATCATCCTGGTCCTGAATATAAAACAAAAAACAATGTTAGCTTTGACTTTTTCTAAGCATACTACTAATCACGTTTAACGAAACTTCATTAGTAGAATTTATATGCATCCGATTGGTATATTCCAATCTACAACCAATGTTTCATATAAACTATATAATTAGGCAACCAAATTTAATACATATAGTTCACAAAATAAGCACTATTTTCTTGAATGAATTTATGTGAAGATGTGTTTATGAAAGATTAAATACATTTTGACAAATTTTAATAAAGCTTTGCATAGATAACATTTTATTTAATAAAGTTTTGCAGGGATAATGTTTATTACACGACTTTTGGTGTAAAAGTCAAGTAAAATTAAAATAACAATTTACGCAAAAAGTATGGGAACGGTTTCAAGCACAAACATAAGAACACATTAACTTTTACTCTTACTGATCGTTGAACAAATGATGGTTTTTAAGATTTTATATATAATTCTTATTAGTTAAAACAATAGATAAATTTTATTTATATTCCGTAGTATGTGAAATATTTATTCTTCAAATATATTTTATATCACAGTTTGTGTGGAATATTCTATATGTTAGACATTAACTAACTACTTAAAAAGTTTGTAGTGACGTGGAAGATACGAGCACCATTCAGATATCAGTTAGGTTGGTTCAGTAATTCTATCTAGTTCTATTTGGGAAAGTAATTATATGATCGCTGAGATTGCTACTAAATGTGTTTATTGAATGCTTTTATACTATCCTCCGCAACGTCATTACTTACACAAATTTATCTTTGTGTCATCCAGATCCAAATAATTTTGACTATTCGAATAACTTGAAAATTCAATTAAATAAGAAATTATTTCAACATACAAATTTTGGGCTAATAATAAAAATGTTATTTCATTGTCAGATGTTTTCTAGCCAAATATATGGCTGTCCATTTCGCGTTTAATGTGAATAGTAAAACAAATATATAATATATTAGAACTTAGTGTTATTCTACTTACTGTTCCCTCGAAGTCAAATTTTCCAATTACTTTTTCTATTTTCTTCGAAGCTGGCCGTTTCAAAGGAGTTGTATCTAAATAATGTAAAGTATAAAATGTAAGCAATTTCGACAAATTTTCAAAAGATTGGTCCCCAATGCGATATACAATGTTTTCGTTCTTCTGAATTTTATTTATTATGTAATTACTAACTTTTGTATCTTCCCTAAATTAATTTTTTTAAATAATTAACTGAGTATATACGACTTTAATAACGTTATAGCACACCTTACACATAAAACGTAATCACCAGCAATAGAGTTACTATCTCGTACTAAAAACACGCCTCGCTCCCTTTCATTCATCAGTACTTCTGTTGCTTCCTGACGTGACATTGAGCCGAAATACCAACTGTCAATAAAAGATATTGGTTTGGATATAATTAAAATTTTAATTGGAAAAATAAACAAAAAAATTGTTTTGTTCTTTTGCCATATACAAGACAAACTTGTAGACACAATACTTAATTCTACATATTTACAATATTTGAATAATTTTTGAAGACTTCACAAAATTATAAAGAAACAGTAATATAATACTTAACTATAGACTTGTTAAAATAATCAGAATCATAATTGAAAATACGAACTCATTTTCAAACAACACAACTTGAGATATATTTATTTTTCTACTAATTGCACACATCTAAATCGTAATTACCGATACTCCATGTAAAAAAATTTTATCTATATTTTTCTTTTAATTTTTAGAAACCACATAGCTTGCATTAACATATATATGTAAATATATGAATAACTGCACTCACTTATATTAACATACATTAGTTTAATGTGTAATTACCTATTTCTATTAGATACATCAAATGTGTCCATTATTTGGCGAAAATACTGTAAACTACGATAATCGGAGTTATAATTGCACTCCTCGTCCCAACAAAACAACTTAAAGGTTTGTAAAGTCAACTAACGAACTAGAACGCTAAGATAACAACGTTGTTATACACAACAGATTTGTTATTGATTGTTGAAAACAATAATTATTGACATAAGTGTGAACATGATATGCTATACAATATCAACTCCATTTGCAATATTACTTAATATTTCTTTGCTTCTTTAATATATAAGATATATAGTAATAGTAGTAGTAGTAATAGTATTTTAGCTTTATTTAGCTTCATTTTAAATATGCATTATTGGAATTTATAACACTTATACGTATATAAAGCTTACAGTTATGACATTTTCGACGTCTGACGGAAGTTTGGATTAATCTTTTAACAACTTATATTAAAAATGTGTAATAACATCTGGAATGTCTAATTTAACAATATAAATATTAAATTAAATTACTTTAACAAGAGGGACAAATTTCATATTAACTAATCCATTTATTATCCTTAGACTGTATTTGAACTCATTTTTAATCAAAGCTGTTAACAATCTCCAGTTGAGGTCATCCAGTATTTGCATGATTTCATGGACGTCGAGTGCAAGGTTTACCAAAGTACAACATTCTGTGGTCTTTAAAAATTAGGTATTCGCCTACTAAATGCATTACAGCGGAACAGAAATTGGTTCTCTACAGCAATGATAAACAAAAGTGATCATGGAGTAAGAAATATTAGTCTGCTCAAAATACTTCGAAAATAAATATTCATCAAATAACGTAAACTATCTATTTATTGGGATCATTAAGAAATCATTTCTTAAGCTCCCCCCGGAAAACACCGATAATTTATAAAGTGAGTTGTCATTTACTTGACAAATTAAATGTTTCACTTAAATAGAAAGTTGAGAACTGATATAAAAATATAGGTATGAAGTGTTCCAGTATGCTAAGGGAAGGTCCTACATATGTTTGGTGCCATCCAAAAGATTTGCAGCTTAAATGGGATATATTGTCACTCTCATCATATTCTCCTTCTAATAATTATGTGTTCTAATATTTTAGGAGCAAAATATTTGCATCAAATGTTGTCAAAAATTATTTAAGAAAACATATAATACATTTTGTGAATATTTACTGCTATGATTATTCATTAAATTTAATAAACGAAGTATCTTTCGGGGCAATCTTATAGGATAAAAACAAATTATTTTTGCCAATAAATAATGCACAGTATGTCTTTAAAAAAATATTTTATGTGTATGTACTAGGATGAAGTATAAACAGAAGCAAATGAAGTACGCAAAGATGCATCGGAACTGGAAACCGATTAACGTGGACGACCAATGCAAACGCTTGAAGGACAATGATTAACGGATAAGCACCTAGAATATCCAGACCCTCTATAGGAAAGATGCCTCTATCCAACTGCCGGAAGCCGTCAATAAATATAAGACTGACGTCACCGCAAGGTTGCTATAAAAGAGCAAATTGTGATATCTGCTACATATGCCTTGCGAATAGATATGAATTTGATACGATTTTGTGGCTAGCAAGAGACTGTGAAAATCAGTCCAAATTGGTGATTCAAATTGGAAAAGCTTACTACAATCCATATCAAGAAAAGTTTCTCATCATCTGTGATCACGACAGACAGACAAGGACTACACGAATCGTCCGTCAATAATATCAGGATATGAAAAAGGTAGAGAGGCCCCTATACAGACGAAAGAAATAAAATCAATAAAAGGCGCGAAAAGTTAACCGCATCTGTCTGAATCAAGGCTTTAAGTCTGGAGCATAAAACTGTAAGGATGAAAATGGTAATCTGGATACGAGTACGTACTGATGGCACAGGAGGAATATTTCTTTAAACTACTATCTGACGATGATAATATTCTGCCTTTAGAGAAATGCTGTCGTAGCCCCTAAACGAAAATGATGGTGTTGAAATTCCATCACCTATTCATATCGAAGTGCGTGTTACTATACAGAGACGAAAGAATATGTAGAATTGTTCACGGTTGGCGGCGATATGCTAATAGTGAGCATGCAACATCATATCTGCAGAATATGGTTGGTTGAAAGTATGCCCAGCGATTGGAATATCAGTACCCTTTATCCAGTTTTGAAAGAGGGAGATCCGACTATATAAAAACGAGTCTCAAAAAGTATATCTTTGTAATGTTACTTACGATAAAAATACCAAATATTCCCTGTGAAAATGATCGAAAAACCGGTCATACAAAATTCGCTCATTCGAAGTTTTGGGAATACTTGGCTAATGTTTTTACAATAGAGAAAGTGATAGTAGTGAAAGTGATCCTCCTTTCTCACTAATATCTTATGAAATTCCACGTAACTGAGTTAAAATTTATAGAAATGATTAATTTTGAACTTAAATTAAAGAAATCGCCTGGATTTGATATGATTTCTACTGAAATGTTTATTCAGATATCTGTCAAATATATCTATAAACTAACTAATCTATAATATAAGTCGTACGACTGACACATAGATGATGCTGCCATTGTCAAATCCATATGTCGTTTATGAAGTACCAACCTTCAAAAGACTATGTGTAAAATTTCATGACATTTACACACAGCCGTTTTAGTGAAGTTACTTTTGTTATTTTCAAAACAATGGATTCAAAACAATTTGTAATTTACTTCGACGTGTTTCAGTTGACAGATCAGATATAATATTTACTTTAACTGATTTTGTCAGTGTTGCATAACACGCTCTCTGTCATTTTTTCTGCCAATATCGTAAGTGCTTTGAAAAATAAACCACACGCGTTTGATGGGTATATAGCTTTTGAGGACCAACATTGAATACTTCTGAGCTACAAAGATGTACCGTCATCAAGATACATCAAAATTTCCATGTGTTGTCTGTCTGGCCAACGACGATTCTATACCTTAACTATGTGTTTGATTTCTATTTGAACCGTTATGTTCAGTATTGCAAAAAAAAAGTATGTCAGATTCCATTTATTGTAAGCCTGCGAAGTGCTTTCAATATATCTCGGATGATGATTGAGGTTCGACACATGTGTAAGGCTGATTCTGCTATAGTTGGCGCAAATCATCGGGTCGCCTCTTTTAAAACAGATTCCCATCGATGTACATAATTCATCCAAGCATATTCTGCAGATAAGATGATGCATACTTACTATTAGCATTGGAGTATGTTGGAAATGTATAATCATAATTGAATAGTAGGCTATTCTTATTTGATTAACTGTATTTAACATTTTGTAAAAATATAGAAATAGATTAACTTTTGACTTCCGATAAGAATAAAGTTAAATTGTAAAAACACAAATTAACAGTTGGCGACGAGGAAATGGATGCTCAGGCACTCGCGACAGTTCTAAGAGAGTTCTCATTAGCAAATCAAGAATTTTTTGAGAAAATATTAAACAAAAATGAAGAAGTATTGAGAAGAGTGATTAACGGGAAAAAATCCGCTAATTCAACTCCAACCTTTCGACGGTTTGAGAGAAATGTTGAAAAGTGGTCGATATATATTCAGCAGATGCATCAACATTTTGTGGCACATCAAGTGAAAGACGATGTATTAAAACGCGCATGTTTCCTTTCGTGGATAGGTACAGAGACATTTGAACTTATTCAAAAGTTATGTGACAATAATATAGAGAATAAGTCTTTTGGTGAACTACTAGCAAAATTGGATAATCATTTTGCGGAAAAACAGCATATATTAGCAGCACGTTTTAAATTTCATTTAATACGAATGAAAGCAAATCAATCATATGCTGAGTGGGTGGCAGAACTGCGTGGTGCGGCTAAAGAGTGCATGTTCCTATGTACTAGTGAAACTTGCCAGCAATCGTTTATAGATAATTGTATACGAGATATGGTTGTGATACACACACCACACGATAAAGTCCGTAGTGCCGCGTTGCAGAAAACAAACCCATCGCTAGAGGAAGTACTGCAGATAGCAGCAATATATGAAGCAACGGTTAAAACTTGTAACGAAATTAGAGGTGAAGATATCAGTCAAACAGTTAATGAAGTTAATCACAGTTCAAGTAAGAAAGTTAAACAGAATCGAAGTAATATTAAGTCCCGAAATTCAGTGAAGGGAGGACAATCGTGTCCAGCTTGTGGGAAAGCACATCAAAGAAATCAATGTTATCATTACAAGAACAAAACAAAGTGTCGGTTATGTACAAAGCAAGGTCATATTGCTGCAGTTTGTCAATCAGCAGTGACAGGTATTCAGCAGAATTCTAATTTTAAGGTTCGAAGACAGGAACAAAATAGAGCAAGAGATGTATATTCTATGAGTGATGTTTCATTTGAGTCAATTAATGCGAATGAAACAACGGAAGTTAAATCAGTTGATTCGCAACTTAGTTCATCTAAAATTTTCGTTGACCTCAATATAAATAACGAAATTTTAACATTTCAAGTAGATACTGGTGCAACATGTTCCTTAATTGGTTTGGCGGCATATAAACAACTGGGTAGACCTAGTTGTGGGCCTACGAATAAAGTTCTGAGAGCGTATGGAGGAGCTGTTATTTTTCTTAAGGGTTCTCTCAGAGTAAATGTCAAGTATGGAAATATTACTCGAAGGCTTGAGATACTTGTAGTTAACGATGAATATGTTACTAACATACTGGGATTGGATTTGTTTACAGTATTAAATTTCAAACTGCAGTTACCTGTTATTGAATGTTATGCAAATAATCCTTGTGACAGTCAACAAAGTTTAACCGCATCTCTACATGAACTCAGATGTCAACATGCTAACATTTTTTCTTCGAAATTGGGGCGTTGTACGTTGTTCAAAGCTGAAATCAGATTGAAGTCAGATGCTAAGCCTAAATTCTTTAAACCATACAACCTGCCGTTTGCGAAAAGAGAAGACGTTCGCATCGAAATTGATCGGTTGGTAAATATTGGAGTTTTGAAAGCTATCAGAAGCAGCGTCTGGGCCGCTCCTATAGTTGTAGTGTCAAAGCCAAATGGAAAATTACGTATTTGTGCAGATTTCAGAATTGGTGTGAACTCGCAAATTGAGATTGACAGGTATCCAATTCCTATAGTTGAGGAACTTTTTTATAAACTTCAAGGAGGACAATTTTTCACAAAAATTGATCTTAGTGAAGCGTACTTGCAAGTAGAATTGTCTGACGCAACAAAAGAATTTCTAGTCATTAATACGCCATTTGGTTTGTTCCAGTTTCAACGATAGCCATTCGGTATTGCCAGTGCTCCTGGCATATTTCAACGTCTTATGGAAGAAGTAACCGCTGGAATACCGAACTGTGCAGTCTATTTAGATGATATAATCGTAACAGGTCGAAATAATAAAGAACATTTGAATAATGTTTTCAAAATTTTTCAACGTTTGGAAGAATACGGCTTGACATGTAAAAGCGAAAAATGTAGTTTTGCGCAAGAGCAGGTAGATTATGTTGGACACGTAATCAATGTGAATGGATTAATGCCCACAGGAAAACGTGTAGAGGCAATCAAATTAATGCCGCGTCCTCGTAATATTCAAGAAGTTGAAGCTTTCATTGGAAAAGTTAATTATTATAACAAATTCATTAAACAGTTTTCCATATTAGCTGCTCCTTTAAATGAACTAAGGAAAAAGAATGCTGTGTTTAAATGGACAGCATATCATGAAGATGCTTTTCAAGCATTGAAAAATGCTATGATCAAAGCTACGGAACTCGTTCATTATGATGATAAGAAGCCTATAGTGTTAGCAGTAGATGCATCTAAGTATGGAATCGGCGCAGTAATTTCACATCGTTATGCTGATGGTTCAGAGAAGCCAATCGCGTATGCTTCAAAAAAATTAAACAGCAGCCAAGAACGCTATTCTCAAATCGAAAAAGAGGCATTAGCAATAATTTATGGAGTGACCAAGTTTCATCAATATCTTTATGGAAGACGTTTTGAATTAATAACTGATCATCAAGCGTTGACAACACTGTTTAATCCGAATAGAAAGTTGCCAGTGATGGCGTTGCATCGTTTACAGCGTTGGGCTATTGTACTTCAAGCATATGAATATATTATACGGTTCAAAAGTTCATCTCAGAATGCTAACGCTGATGCTCTTTCCAGATTGCCGTGTGGGGATGACATACAATTTGATAGAAAGGAAGTTGTGATGTTAGATGATGTCGATACTGTTTATCAAAATGCTGTGGATTATCTTCCAGTAAATGCAACATTAGTAAAGGATATGACTGCTAATGACAACACTCTTCAACGTGTCAGCAGATATGTACAAGATGGCTGGCCTGAACAATTGCCGAAATCTGAAGGTAGTATCAAACCGTACTTTAATCGCAGATTTTGCTTATCATTTCAGAATGGAGTGTTACTTCTTCAGGCTGAATATACTAGAGTGGTGCTACCGAAAGCACTGCAATCTCAAGTATTAAATTTGTTACACGAGGGTCATTGGGGTAAAGGTCGTATGAAACAGATGGCAAGACGATATGTGTGGTTTCCTCTTATTGATAAAGCCATAGAACGTATTCATGATGATTGTTCATCTTGTCAACAAGGTGCAAGTCAACCAAAGCGAGAATTTTCTGCATGGCCAGAACCTAGTAGGCCGTGGGAAAGAGTTCATTTGGATTTCGCGGGTCCATTCTTTAAACGTATGTGGCTCATAGTTGTGGATGCATATTCAAAATTTCCATATATTGTGGAACTATCAACAATAACAGCTGTAACAACAGTTGGAGCTCTACAAAAAATTTTTTCTATCGAAGGTCTTCCGTGCAATATCGTGACAGACAACGGAACACAATTCACGTCCAATGAATTTCAAAAGTTTTGTGAAATGAACACAATTCAGCACCTCACGTCTGCTCCTTTTCATCCGGCTTCGAATGGGTTAGCGGAAAGACATGTGAGAACTTTTAAGGAAGCAGTAACAAAAATTATGAAAGAGGAACAACATATTGACAAAGCGTTGTATAAATATCTTACAACGTATAGAACTACTCCAAACTTAGCAACTGATAAATCGCCAGCAGAGTTGTTACATGGGCAACCAAGAACCATTTTATCGGCGTTGTTCCCGAAAGACTATGAAAAACTCAAAATAGAAGTAAATTCGGAGTTGGAGAGAAAGTGTTAGCTCGTAATTATTCGGGATCGCATAAATGGATCAGAGGCGTGATACAGAAATTGCTGGGAAATAAAATGTATTTTATTCAAACTGAAAATGGTTACATAAAACGACATCAAAATCAAATACGTCGAAATTTATCGTCATCGCATTCAAATCAGCTTAGGGCAGATAATATTGATATTGATTTAGATTTTGGTATTCGGACACCACCGGTTGAGGAAACAACAATTACTACTGGATCCGACCCGGAACATAGTCAAACAGAGAAAGACGACAAAATGGGGACCGATGAAACAATAATCACTACTGGATCTGACTTGAAACAAAATCAAAGAGAGAAAGACGACAAAGCGGAGTCCGACGACAGATATGGGTCCACACACACTGATCAGTTGCCAGTTCAATTAAGACGGTCGGTTAGAAGGAGAAGACAACCTGTTCGTTTTAATCTTGAATAAACAAAATTCAATGTCATGTTAAACATTACTTTAGTGGTTTCAAAAATTAGGTCCAAGAGAATGTTGGAAATGTATAATCATAATTGAATAGTAGGCTATTCTTATTTGATTAACTGTATTTAACATTTTGTAAAAATATAGAAATAGATTAACTTTTGACTTCCGATAAGAATAAAGTTAAATTGTAAAAACACAAATTAACAGAGTACTAACGGGGCACTGTGCCATTGCACCTATGCTCCAACGGTAACGATTTCCAACTAGTGGATTATGCAATATGAAGAGGAGGTAGAATCTTTCAACCACTTCCTGTGTCTCTGTCCAGGACTGCAGACAAGGCGATTTCAATGTCTTGGAAATCGCTTTTTCACTGGCTTGGAAGTGATAATGAAAGCAAACTTATCGAAACTCCTCAACTTCATCTGGAAAACCAAATGGTTTAACAAGGATTACATAGGTTAGCAACTCCCATAATTTTTGAAGGCATCACAATTGGCAATATGTGTCTCCGAATGAAAGTGCTCACAACTATCAGCACGCGCTTTCCGAACCTAACCTAACCTACTATTAGCATACCGCCGCTAGCTTGAACAATTCTGCAGGTAGGCCATCTGTACCTTCCACTTTGTTGATCTTTAGTCTCTGTATACTAACACGCATTTCCATATGCATAGGTAGTGGATTTTCAACACCATCATTTTCGTTTAGTAACGAAAATTGTCCGTGAGTCAGACGGTTGACTTTTTGATTCTTGTTTCTACATACCTCAATTTTCTCTCGCTCGCACCTTTGATGATCTCGGAAGGTGTGAGGAATCTGGTGCTACATTCTACCATTTATTACGCCGCAGCAAAATTCATCAGCCTTAGACCGTTATTAGATTTAGGCTCATTAAGTGTTTTTGACCGTTTCCTTTATTTTGACCTGTGCGTTAAAATTACCAAGAACAGTTTCAATAACATGAGACTACGAACATAAATTTCTGCGAGTATTAGCGTAGAAGGTATCTTTGATCAAGTCGTCCATTTCTTTTGAACGACATTGTAAACATTAGGATAAGTATTAGGGTGATATTACAAAATTTTCCCTTCATTTGGATAATAGCAAACGTTTTGTTTGTTTATGAGAACCCATTAACTGAGTTCGAGAATCTCCTTCTAATCGTTAAATCGCATCCATATTCAACCCTATTCGCATGCAGCTGTAGTTAATATCATAGTTTTTGCTCATAGAGCAGTCTTGTGTAGTCCATCGTATTTACTGGATGATGCGGACGTTAACTTAATATTTATTTGTGGGTTATAATGCTTTTTGCGCAACCTTAATTTAAAGTGCTTGGTATAGAACTCGCTGTACGCACTATTAGTTCACTTCACCATGGGTGCCAGATGACCATTCACGTGGAGGCTGTGCGACATCTTGGATTGAGGATGACAGAAATTGCATTGGGATTCTGCAAGTTATATGCGATCAGACACGTTGCTTGCGTACATACTCGCAGGGCTCGCGGTACCCTCTTAAATCCCAATCCCTACATAACAAATAAGGCAAAACAAAGCATGTTAGAAAATTATCGTCTAGAGTCTCCATAAAAAATCAACTCAAATCGGTTTACCCTATTAGCAGGTATTAGCAGAACAAGAAATAGAGATGATTCACTTATTATATCATTAAACGCATCATAAACTTTCATTTCAAAATGTGATCCAACGTTTTCCCACAACTAAAAATGGAAGTTGGGCAAAAACAAATAGACGAAAAGCAAATAATGATACACAAATTAATTTTGAAGCCAATTTATAGCACTTGTTCCCATGAGCATTTTGGCTTTAGCCAATTACGATATTTTTGTGTTAGATTTGCACCCGCAATTTGCGACTGCATTGTGCGGCAAGTTTCTTGATGTCGTTATTAATACTATGCCAACAGCAGTTTTACTAGCGAGCTACTTCATCTTAATTTGGCCTTTATGGATAAGCTTCACGACTAGCCTTCATGGTGAAGCTTCGAGACTGAGTTATACAACGAACGAGATACAACGCCTCGAGTATTGTCTGTCTGCAAACAAATCCAATCATCTCAAATAAAGAGAGATGAGATATTTATGACAAAAATAAGGAAACAAGCCATGTTAAAATTATGTGATATTTTTTGCCCACCCTTCTAAAACACAAATTTTTACTCCCTGTAGTGTGTGATCGTTTTTAAAGTGCTCTTGTAGTAATCCGATATTGATAAGAGTATCATAATTTTCTATCTGATAATAGTGCTCACACTTATCAAACTCAGAATCTGTTGTACCAAGCAAGTATTTGAGTGATCGGCAAATTTATGAAAATGTATTTTATCATGTATTTTATGTATTCAGGACTAAATGTATGTATGTATTTATTTAGTCAGGACTAAACACGAAAAAGCACACAAATTTAATACAGGAAAGCTATGTACAGCTCAATACCAGAACGATTACGTAGAAGCAATCAAAAATCGTATTGAAACAGATATATTAAATATTAATACGAAAAGTGTAGACGAGATAGCAAAAGAAACAACAAAGGTGAGCATACAGCTACAAGGATTTAAGAAAGCAAAAAACAAACCATGGATGTCGCAGGAGACATAGGAATTAATAGAGCAACCCAAAATACTAAAAATCAGAATGCTAAATCAAAATAATCTTTTTCGAGAAGACTATAGTGAGCTATCAAAACGAATAAAGAAATCAGCTAGAAAGGATAAACGATTATGGATCAAGTAACAAGCAGATCGAGCAGAAGCTGCAGCGGCAATTGGAGATATGAAAACGGTTTTTAAAATATCGCGACAAGCCCACATATACAAACAGTCCTATTGCAGCTCGAGATGGAAAATTAGTGACAATAGTGGAGAACAATTGACCCGATGGGTTGGGCATTTTACCAAAATGTTGAATAGTCCGCTAGAACTGCAGCCTTGAACGGATCAGCAAATACCAGCTGAACGTGATATTACCTCATCTGGAATAAATTGCTCACCATAAATTGAGTCTTAAATACATATGTTCTGAATTACTGCTGTGTGATATAATACATACTGCCGAAATATGACTACCACTCAATCAAAAAATCTGGAATGAGGAATCTTTACCCAGCTTGTGGAATGAAGGCACTCTAGTAAAAATCCCCAAAAAGAGAAACACCAAAGATTACAACAATTATTGGGGCATAACCTTGCTACCAGTGACGACGCGTACCCTATCTGGAACGGTGTTGTTTTTACAATGTTGTTTTTACGTGAGCCGCTTAAATTAAAAATGATATATTGAAACATATTAGATGTTTCATTAAGTATAATTATATTACATTAGGCAACAATATATTCACATTATAATATTTATAATTTCATTAACAAAATAACATATTAAATAAATTAAATTAATAATTTATATATATATATATAAGTTTAATATTATATCAATGTGGAATAAACACAACTTTTCACATACTTCTTATAACATCAAACCAACTTTTTTCAAACAAAAGAGTTTGTACGCAGAACCATACATGTTTATACAGTGATCAAACAAAATCGAACACACTTGCGACGTATAAATGTGCGGCCAACTTTTCCACACATCAGGCGGCTAATATTCGTTGGTGGCACAGATAAAAGAGGAGAGACGAAATTTAAAAAATTTTACTGAAATGTGTGTTGCAGATTTGACCGCATAACCAAGTGCTTCGGCAAATCAGCATGTTAAATTCATATCCATGCAGTTGATATTCGAATAGAACAGAAAATTACTCTCATACAATTCCCATTATATAAATATCTATTTCTCATATTACAATCGTGAGCACACACATATTATTTTGTTAATATTTCTGTTGAGCACAACAAACGACACAAATTTGTGAATACAGTTGCAACGTATAAATGTGCGGCCAACTTTTCCGCACACGAAAGACGAAATATAATAGAAATGTTCTGCGATTTGAGCTGCAAACTTATGAGAACAACTAACAACTATAGCAGCTGAGAGAAGCAAATTAATTGAGTTTTCGTAGACAATTATATTTAATTGTTTTTGCTAAAATTTTAATCTTTCAAAAAATATATATAGAAATGTAATAAATAGTATTAATTCTCGATGTAAAAATATTTAACAAATTTATATAGGACATTTTATAAATTATGTTAGGGTGTGCGCCGCACATTTCCGCACCTTAGAGCAGTCGTCACTGCTTGCTAACCATTCCAAGTAAGATACATAACGCATTTCAGGAGCAGTAAACAAAATGTTATACGGAAATTGGTTCGAATTTCAAAAAACAGAACATGCATCGGTCCCACCACCACACTTCACATTCTTTTTGAACAATGTAATGAGTTGCGGATATTGGTATACGTAGTCTTTATTGGCTTCAAAAATGCGTTTGATAGTGTTAACAGAGGATTTCTTTGAAATACTTTAGAGAAGCGACAAATCCAACCAAAAAAATAAATCTTATAAAAGCAATGTACAAGGAATTTAAATGCCGAGTATTGCACAACGGGTTGCTATGAAACACATTTGAAGACGCAGCGGGAGTAAGGCAAGTGTGTATATTACCTCCACTTCTATTTAACCTTGTGGTTGATGCAGTGATGGGAGTGCTTTTAAAAGGAAATAAAAGTATTCAGTGGAATCCATTCATGAATCTGGAAGATGTGGAATATGTAGACGAAGTTTGTCTACTAAGCCATAACACCAGAGACTTACAAGAAAATATTGAAGCACTTGGGGGGATATAGCTCAAACTCTTCGCCAGTTGTTAAAATAGAAGAAGAATGAAATAAGTGGATAAGTGGATAAATTCAATTATCTAGGTAGCATAGTCGATACTAAAAGCGGCGCTGACAAAGACATTGACTCTTGCCTAACCATAGCCAAGACTGCAATTGGCATGTTCAGTGCTGTGTGATGTTTTAACCAAATTTCCATTCCCAAAAAATTTCGTATTTATAACTCCAACGTGCTATTCCATGCTTGTGAGGTATGGAAAGAAACAAGAGAAATTAATACAAAACTACATTAGTTGGATTGTTAAGTAAGCCACAATCCCAATCCTCAAGGCGGCCGTCGACTTGGAGCGCCAGCTAGAACTTTGAGAAGGAAGGAAGAGCTTGAGGAAGAACTAAGAGAAACGAATTATTCCTGTAATGGTATCTGCCGAGAATCAAATAACAGAATCGGATTTAAAAGGATGGTGGAGAGAGAGAAATTACAGTAATTTAAAGTATTAAGTAATACTTGTAATTCGTGTCGATTAAAGAAATAAAATAACAATTGATAGTTATAAAAACAACTCTACACATTACATATTAGAGAATTAGGGCGCTTACTATTCTATAACTATGATTGTTAAGATTGTCACTGTAAGTATCTTCCAATGTTTTCTTACTTTTATTATATAATTTTTTTTTTGTTGAATCATTATTACATATAAAAATGAAATCCAAATCTGAATGTAAATAATCTTAATTTTCCATTTAATTTGAAAATTTATGTTAATAAGATATTGTGTAAGTATATTAATTGTTTCAGTAGTAATTTCGAACTGACAACAAAAACGATATTTCATTTGTTATATTCGTATTTGTAACAGTAATCATATGTTATTAAACTTTATGTATATTTTACTTTAAGAAATTGGAGGAGTGAAATTCAAATAAATTGTGTTCATTACACAAAAAAACAACTACCTCTGAAAAAATCACTTATCTCACTACATTTATGCAATGGAAACAGAAAATAATAATGAAATTGTCTGAAAATGTCTGAAATGTGTTTTTAAAATATTATATCAAAGCAAATTTTAAACAAAAATGGTATAAAATAATAAATGCATAATAGAAGTGGACGCAAATTTTTGTAAATTTCTTATCATATTCTTTAGAAATTGATCTTTTAGCAACGAGAATATATTGCTGCGATTCATATTAAGAAGCAATTATTAAAAATGCAAATTACTCTGTGTTACTCTTTCTCTGTGTTACACTGTTTCCTAAATTCTGATGTGTGATTGGTACTAAGTACTGAACGGTTGGATTTGCAGCATACTGACATGTGTAAGCAGCACATAAACGAAATAAAAAATGATACATCCACATTATGTATTTTTTGTGTATAAGGTTTTAATGTAAATGCCAGCAATTTGCGTTTATTGTGCTGCAATGTGTAAGATTTAGGATTTTTAAATATCTAGCACGGATTGTAGTTTTGCAAATTTATATAAATATGTTTTGAAACACGTACAATTGCGTTGATTGTGTTTTTACGTGTAAGGAAATATATTCGATTGGAAACGCCTTAAGTCTAAATATATTGCGGCCATTTTGTTTTTGATGGAACAGGTAATTTTTGCCCAAAATAAGTTTAGAGGAGTGTGTGTGGGCAACGATCCTTAATATATACAATCTTCATATTTGATATATGAATTTTGTATACGTAAATGTAAATTGTAAAGTATCTATGAATTGCAACACTAATTATTAATTGCAACACTAAGTATTATTAAAATGAATAAATTCTTTTATTGAATTGGAAAACAGATGATACATTTACTTAAATTGTCATATGAAACAAAAGTTTAGTGTAGTGAAAATTATTGTAATACATTGTTTGTTTAGTTTAATTTTTGTTTTTAATATTCATGGGATTACTTGTGAAAATTTGTTTAACTAAAAGAAATTATAACCAAAGCAAAAGTACGGTGAATATATAGTGTTTCAATAGTGTGCAGCGCTTTCTCGGTATTGACACCCTAATGTTAAATTATAAAATTTTGTACAATTGAAGAAACGTATTGGTTATACTAATAAAATGTGTCTATAAATATTTGAAAATATAAATTTTAATAAAGTAATTGTTAAAATAAAAAAAAATCTAATTCTAAAATTGAATCAAATTAAACTGAATTTTTCTTTGCAGCTATTAAAAACCATGAAAAAAATTGATGAGATAGATTTTATATGTGAATGAATTAACTTATTGAAATTTATCAAAACAAAAAGAAAATCTAAAAATCATTACTTTGATGAATTGAATCTGCAAACCATGTTTAATATTACCAAATATGGATACGCTAAACATAACTTTGAAATGCTGACTGAGAACAGTAAACCAGGAAAAAAATACTATAATGAACTTAATTCGAATATTACACTTTCGAATAATTCGAAATGTAATGATGGATGTGATAATTTATGGAGCGTTTTGAAAACAGATATAACAGGAGAGAATAGATTTTCAGAAAAGAAAGTGACGAATACAGATGAAATAAATAAGTCAGTTCTTACATGCTTTCAAATGTTATTAACAGCAGTTCTAGATATAAATATATTTAGCAGAGATTTTCAGTATAAAAGATTTAGTAATAAAGTGCACAACAGTTTTCACAGGTCGAAATATGTATTGCATATATATTATGTCTTCATATTTGTGTTGTTACATATTAGATATGGTAATGCACTATTATCTGCACAACCAACATATATAGGACTGATATCAAATTTTCCAAATGATGGCCATAATAATATCACTAATAACAATATAGTCGCCTCAAAGCCACCTTTTTCAAGTGGTTCCCATATACCAGCATCAATTTCTTCAAGCGGCTATTTAGACAAGCTTGATAATTTAGAACGAAGTGTTGCAGCAGTATTAATTAAAGTAGCGTATGGTACTACATCAACTACTAAAAGAAGTATTCCCGACAATGCCCTCATTACAGGTCTAACAACAATAGCCACACCGTTTCTTACTACGCAAAGGTTAATTTTACATTATTTTTTTTAAATGTAAATAAAACTTTTATATATTTTTAAAGGTTTTTGGAGAAATCTTCACAACAACAGCAATTTATTTCTCATCATCGTAACTATGAATTAGATTTGGAAAGGGATCACGCTTTACCAACTTCTGCACCAAATGCCGATATTCTTAAAAGCAACAGTAATCCTACATATCCAAATCCAAATAGATATAACCACGACAGGGACAGATATCGTCATCCAATAAATTCTACATCGCTTTCTTCTTGTAAGTAAATTCATTACATATATAAAAAATTTTATTAGTAAATCAAATTATTAGGAAAATATCCGAATAATTCCATTGTGTAATATCATTTAGATTGATTAAATTTAGATAGCAATAGAAACTAACGGTTGAGATGGCCAATTTTTATGCAAAATTATAATAAATTGTGTGATTATTTTTTATGCATGCATAATAATACAATACATTTTCGAATTGGGTTTTGAGATTTGAAAACTCTAGGCATATTATAGTCAATTTCGTTTAAGAAAGTCGGCTGAACAATAGCCAAAAATTACTGCTCAGTTTTACTATGTATTTTGTTGTTGCGTAATTATCTTTCTATGCGAAAATCAACTATACCAAAACATGTTTACGACATTGTATAGTATTATATTTATATAATTAATTTGATTTCTAGTTTGGGAGTTCAGTTAACAACTGAGAATGCAGCATTGGAATATATGCAATCACAAGTAATAAAGTCTGTCTTTTATTTGTAAATATTTCGTATTTCTAGTCGATCATGGAAATAATAGATAGGAAGGTGGACAAAATAAATAAAATCTTATTAGATAAGCAAAGTTTGTCAAAAATATTCATATCAGAAGCCTTGTACAGTCGGAGTCATAAGTCTACAAGCAAGCAGTAAAAAAAACTGTTTAAAAATGTATGCTTTATTATTTTTTTAAAACATTCAAAGCACAATATTTTCGCGAAGTTTCTTTGCATTTGTTCAAAAAACAGCCGAGATAACGGTGCTTTTATTGTCAAAGGTAGCAAATAAGCGATCAAAAGTCTACAAGCACTAAGCATAAGACGACGTTTTAGTGTAAATTTCTGATTTTTTATGAAATTTAATAACTAGTTGCGTGACCGCAACACTTAAGAACTTTCACTAGACGAAACTACTAGTTTATTGGTCTCCTGAGTTGTTATTTCGCCACATTCTTATAGTATTATGTCTTTCAAATGCTGTTTGGAAGAAATTAAATGTTTACGAGTTTTTCTTTCCAAAAGTCCCCATAATTGGATTTAAATTCGGTGACTGTGGACGCGTATTTAGCAGTTTAGGGGCGTAATATAGCAACCAAAGACGTATAACTTTTACTGATGGTTTAGGATCATAGTCCTGTTGAAAATAAAATCCATCTGTTAGTCCCAATTTGTCAGCACTTGATCGCATATATCGTTTCAAAAACTTTAACTAAATATGTTTATCCATTATTGTTTCCACAAACTTAAGATTGCCCGTACCATTAGCTGCGAAACAACCCCAGAGCATCACTGCACCACCTCCATGTTTTACAGTTGGGAAAAGATGTTGTTTATTGTATGCTTCACCTCGCTTACGCCATACTAATTTACGTCCTTGTATGTCAAAAACACAGAACTTGGATTCATCGGTGAAAAGCACATTATTCCACTACTCTTCCGGCATATCTACATATTTAGTTGCAGTGCCGTCAAACGTTAGTTTTTCGGTACCGAATTTGATATTGAGCGGCTTGATGGGCGTCCATAACGCGGCTTTGACATAATAGTTCATCGACCGATCAGTGCGATCTTCCAACCAAATGTCTAATTTGTTGATCTGAGTTCTCTTCCTCTCAAAATTTTATGATGATTTTTCTTTCACCGACGCTTACATCTTTCCGATTAGACACCACTACTAGTTTGTAGTATTTTAAGCAGAATACAATTTTTTGCAGTTTTATGATTAATTACCACAATCACAATAAGACGCAATCCTAATTTTTACCAATTAACATTTAAATAGCTTAAGAACTGCCGAAATACCAAGTGCTTGTAGACTTTTGATCCCTTGTTTTGCTACCTTTGTTGTTTTTTGTACAAATGCAAAGAAACTTCGCGAAAATATTGTGCATTGAATGTTTTAAAAAAATAATAAAGTATGTTTCCAATAAATTGAGTTTTTTGGGAAAAATTTTCAAAAGTTTTTTTTACTGCCTGCTTGTAGACTTATGAATCCAACTGTATATAGCAGCCAACAGCATGTATGCAGGAGATTTTAACGTGCTTGTCGTGTACTCGAGACTTTACATCTCGTGGTTGGTGTTGTTGATCCTTGTGTTGACCGCTAACATATGAAATAAATACATAGACGCCAAAGAATTGTTGCCAGAGTTGAAAAATACGAGTACTTCTAGAGAAACAAAGCAGAAATAAAAAAAATTGTTGATGAATGGACTATTGGAATAGTCGACTTGATTATAATTACATGTCGTAGTATATTTTGGTCATTAAAAACGTCACAGCAACAATTGTAACGGCATATTTCTATAATAGATTAGTTCGAGCCTAAAAAAACTTTTTTTGCAAAAACTGTTATCGCTAAACAGAAACATGCATGTGTGGTCAAAAGCAGTATCTCACTTTTGTAAAATATTGTGCCAATAAAATTCAAATCTGCGCTCGTATTATGATTTTCAACACTAGATTGAAGAAATCACACGACAAGAAGTCACCTTGTCTGTAACCGTGTTTAGTTTCACGGCTCAGAGAGGTTATTCCAAATTTAATCGGAGCTAATGGCGCTGCTCAACGTCATTTTACATAGTCGATAAAGTTTTGCTAGGATATCAAATATAGACAGCGACTTGAATATTTGGAGCCATAGTATCAAAATCGACTTTTAAATCAATAAATAGATTTGAAATTGGCGTTTGGTTGACACTTGGCTTCATTCTTTCATATAGTACGTTTGACAAAACCGTACATATATGCGATGTTGAAAAGATTAATCCAGTGATGGGTGTTATTTGCAGGATCACTTTTTTTTGCAAAATGGGCAAAATAGACTTAATTTCCAATCATTGAGCATGAATTCATCTGACCATATTTTGTGAATTAGTCATGGCACACATTTAAATAGCTCTTCGCCACTAGGTTTGAACAGCTCAATCCGTAAATCATTGACTTCAGGAGATTTTTTGTTTTTGAGTTGCTTTATAGCTGCTTTAACTTGATTATATTACAGTAGCGGAACGATCTACTACTATCTTCATGTATCATCTACTGATCCCTCCAAATGTTAAGCATATCTTTTTATCTTTGTAGGAATTTTTTGCGCTTATAATCATTTTTCAGGCTTTTTATTTATAAATATGTGATATATTCAGGTTGGGAATGATATAAAAATGTCAGTTACACATTTTTACAGAGATGGGTACTGCTCATTATCGAATATTCGCCATGAAGCTAAAAAAATTCATCTCCATATTCTCTGTTCAGTGAAGGTCTGATTGAAGGTCTTAAAATTCCAATTGATAATCAGTCTTTACATTTTTAACTTCAATCGTTATGGATTTGATAAGATATATCTCGCTATTTAATTCTTTAAAAGTTTTGAAATGTTGCTTAAATTCAACAATTATCCCATTGATGTAGTTTTGCATTCTTCAATATTATCCATATTTGAGTAATGTTTTTTGGAACACGGGAAAAAGAAAAATTGTTCTATTCTAGTGATGTGTTGAATAACTCATACAAGTTGGCTATGTTGTGTTGTTTACCATGCAACTTTAAATACAATTCTTTTAAGTATTGTGCTATATATACTAACTTGTGCATGATAAGTCAGGTGTAATGAAGATTTTATATTTTATCTTCCAGTTCTGAAAAAGAAGATTTTGTATTTTATCTTCCAGTTCGGAAAAAGAAGATTCAAATTATTTTTTTAGAAATAAAGATATTTATTTCCGTATACCAAAAAAATATTAGAAATATATTAGTAAATCGGTATAGATTGCATCAACTTCACTTAAAAAATCACGATTTTTTATGTGTAGAAGCTTTATTTCCTCTTTTGATAAGATTTGTTATTCTAACAACAATTCTTATAGCGTTCGTTTGGCGCAAGAATTTTCCACACAACGCATCTTGGCCTTACACAATTTTCAAACGCTTCATAATCCACTAGTTTTGTTGACAGCTTATAGATATCATTACCCTCAGTTGTCTCATGTAATGGTTCTACATTTAGAATTCTCCCGGTAAATCTAAAATCCTTTAATATGTTATGTACTGGATAAAAATTAATAACTGATATTGTTAATCAGTTAATGAAATGACGTATAACTTTACTCAGTAATTTTATCTAAAGCTATGGAATAGTATTCGTAATCTACAACCACAATCATATAAGGACTATTCACGACATAGAGTAAGGAGCTCGGTAAACGAGGAACGTATGAAAAATGCAAAGCAGCAACAACAAAATGCACGTCGAGTAATGCGTTGCAATGTTTCTACGTTAGTCAAGCCTTTGCTTCGAACAACATTTATGTTGTACTTTTACTATATTTTCAATGTTGCCACCTTTCTTATACATGAGAAAAAGGTTTACTCTGAAAATGTATTTATACGAAGAATTAAATATTCGTGCATTTATATTAAAAATTGAAATTGAAATTGCACTCAGAACATATTTTGATGTAAGTTTTGATTTATATAATAATTCATTAAGTGTCTTTAGTTGTTCAAGAATTAACATACCTTATTTTACTTTTTATTTTATTTAAAACTTATCAAAAACTTGTTATAAAATACTTTTAAAAACTAATTTGTAGCATAGAGATCTAAGAATCGACTCAGTAAAAAAATATATCAAGGATAGAGCCCTAAAATTATTCACTAAAGTTGATACGCTGCGCAACCCCGCCTTAACAAATCTTAAGTCCACCTCAGGACGCACATGAAGATATTCTAATTTACGGTCCGTCATCAGTTAAAAGATAAATGAATGATAATAATTCTAGTATAGTTAAAGCTTAGTGTAGGGCAGGGATAAGCCCCCCAGCCACAAAAGAGTAAAAGTGCGCAATAGCACTAACTGAAATCACTACAACAACAATTATAATAAAACCTCTTAAATTATGTCAAATTTAAACATTTAAAATTTTTTATATTATATTAAATTTTGTATTATATGAAGCCATTATGCATTAATAAAGACACTGATAGTCTGTTCAATAATGAACATGTTTTATTTTGATGCCAGATTATAATTTCAATATTTAAATATGCTCAATTCAATAAATTTACAAATTCATTAAAACACAGCTGATTTTAACAGCTGTTGTTAACAAATCGACACAATCAGATGTGTTCACGAGTTAGAGTAATTGGTTGCACTTTTACTCGGTTATTGAACTCGTGAATAATTCTATACTTTTTGAAAGCATAATGGTGAGATAATGGTAGCGATTCGAATTTTTCAGCCAGTTTCGGCTGCATAGCAGTTTCATAGCAACTATGTCTTTTTTGCTTTGACTAATTTCAACGAAGCATTATATAAAGCACTAATTTTGTTTACTGTCAGAATTTAGTTTCAAAAACGTACTTTTTTAGTGAATTAGTTGTTTCGGATACGTTGTAATATGTCGTTAACCATTGTATTCTTTTTATTTCCATATAAATCATATACCGAGTTTTGTTATTACTGTTTTACTGTTGCTCATTTATCATTATACCTACGCACGATTTCCAACATTTATTTTTCACTTCTCCCAAGCAATATTTGTTATTTTGGTTAAAAATTATATGTGCAACACAAAATAGTAATACGTAATTAAATTACTCAAAGGCTAGACGATAGGTCTCAGATCGAACGACAAATGAAAGACGACGACAATCGGTTACGAAACAAGAGTTCGAGAATTTCCTGAATAGTAATTAGCGCAGAAGACTGTTATCATACGAAAAAATATTTTACGAGAGTTATTTTGTATCGTACAATTTCGGTATTTTGTTCACTTAAGTGGTAAAATTTAATGCGTTGCAATACTACTAAACTTTAATACCATAGTTTGTTGGCATAAAATACGTATCAATGGAATACGCATAAATACTCTTTTCATTGACGGTAAAAGTATTTGATTTTCAGTTATGAAATCTAAAAGTTTTATCTGTAATGAACGAATATATAAATGTATCCACTGAAAATCAAATTTTTATAATTGGGTGCGGCCTCTTCACTTATGATTTACAATTGATGTCATGGGTTCGTTGACGACCGAATACATTATATTTCTAATACAATTTGTGCCGATTTTTACTATTAAAACCACTATCATCCACAATAACTTTCTTCGTTATCTTATTCACTTTCATTATTCAACTCTAAACTGCTTTTTCCAAACTTTTTAACATCTGAATTCACATCTTGCGGATTACGCAAGTATTGTACATCCCTATCCTCTCCTTTCGGATCGCCTTAATGTCCGCACTTCCATCGCAATTACATTCGGTGGTAAATATATTTCGTAAATATTGTTGTATTTTCCATATCGGAAAAGAAAACATGTTAAAAGTTTTTGGGAAAGCACTACAATTAAATTAAAACTTTCCTAATTTCTAACTAAAATAACGTATGTGATTGCCTTGAACTGATTTTCTTTTCAATTTAGCTATGGTAAGTGATTTAAAAGAATGATTGCACTTCTGCTTGTTTTTCTGGGCGGTCGAGGGCAACTCGACTCTTCTAAGTTTAATAAAACCAACAAGTATCAACTAGGAATAAAATTGTCAGAATCGAAATTTTCCCTTCCCGGCAATTTTGTTACTCTTTTTCCCGAATTGACATACAAATCGTAATTTTGAAATTTGAGGTATTTGTTATTAAATATACTGTATTCTCGTTGATTACTCTTTATTTAAGACAACAAACCATGAATAATCAAATTAAGTTATTAGTACGAAAGTTGCTATTAGGTAAAAAAACATTAGGATTATGTGTTTAATTCAGTCATTGTGAGTCAATATTTAATTCATTGAATAAGTAAGATGACTGGGGTGTCCTGTGGTATAACAATCTTATACGGTATTCTTGTAGTATAGTAACTGTTTTATGGTCTTTATCTCTGACGAAATTTTAAGTTGCTGTCAATAAACGAATTAACTCAATAAGAATTCAAACCGAAATAAGGTGTTTACATGTAAATATTTATTCCAATTATTGTAAACTAATATTAGTAGCTCTATTCCATTTGTGCAACGCAAATTTTTTGGTTAAACATTTAAATTACCATTTTATTTTAATTCAATTTTATAATTTAAATTTGTATATAAAATTAGTTAAGAAATATATTTGTTGTGAATGTGATTTTTGCTTTAATAATCGTTATTTTACCTATTTTTAAAAATTTTTTATTTCAGTGCCAAACATATATAAAAAAAATAATGATCAAATAGCAACTACATCATTACATCATGAAGATATACCATCTTATCATCCTCCTGGCCGCTCATTTTTTACGCCACCTCTGCCACCTGAATATCAAAATCCATTTGCCGATAAACCAACACTACGGGGTACTAATAATGAAGGTGCTTTGGTGAATACTAGTACATTTGTTAATCGTCGTCCAATACCACCTCCTAGTTTAATGCCTGGTCATGAAAGAATCCCATATAGAGCGGTAGATCAGTCATCGTTAGGAGAAAACGATTCAATATCAGTATCATCTGTTACTTTGGAATCAGTTATGCCAGTAAGTGATCATGAATCAAGAAATGCTTTCAGTCATGTAATATTTACCACCGAATCCTCAAAAACTGATAAGAACAAATATGTCAATAATAACGAAGTTCAAAATACAAAAGAAACAATTAATCATAGCAATCCAGATAGTTCGCAAAATTCGGGTAAAGAAGTTTTACCAAACATTCGAAGAATTTTAAGTGGCTCAAACGGTAACAAAGGTGATGTACCAGAAGTTTTATTTAAGCATGTGACATCCCGACCGATACAAAATTATCATCAACCAACATTGTCTACAGTTAAGTTAGTCAACGATACTGAATATCATAAACAAAGTAATAACATTGCTTCAAGCGCAAATATTAATAAAAGTAAAATTAAAATAGATGTAAATAGCAATATTGATGGTATTGAAAACATAAATATGCAATTTAAAACTTCAACAAAATCTACAATAGAAAAAGCTTTTAGTAATTATGCTGATAATGGTATAACTTCTACACCCGCTGCTGCCGCAGCTATTGGAGAGGCCGCTTCATCTACTGCAGTTAACACTCCAACATCGTCTGTTACTAGTATGCCATCAATAGACGGTTACAGTACGTGGACAATAGCTCTGAATGTACATGTGTATTTATCAGTTATCTTATTCACTATTCTCTTAGTGTATTCATTTTATAAAATGCTAACATATAATAAGCTCACACATTTGTTTTCTCAATCCTATTTTCTTTGTATTCATATAATTCTAATATCGATATGTTCCACTCGAATATTTTATCTTTGTTATGACGCTTACAATATTCATTCCACTTTTCATATATTCATATCGGAAATTTTATTGAATTTACCTGCAACATTCCTAACAGTATGTTTTTCTGTTTTAATTTTGTATTTATTTTTGAAGTCATTAAACCACAAGAACAATCGATATTCTTCATTAATACGACCCCTCACAGTAATTGTGGGTTGTGGCGTACATGTTGTGCTATGCATTACACTGCATTATGTCGAATCGTATACAATGCAAAATCATCAACAGCAATTATATTACCAGCAACAATTTTATCGTCGACAGCAGCATCAATATCAAAGTCAACTAAACCTAAACCAAGTTCATCAAAAATTTCTCCATAGTTCATTGGGATCCACAAATAATATGGGAAGTTATCTATATACTCCTGGTGGAACATCTGGAATTTCTACTTCGCCTCCTCGAGTTTTGTCACTTATATGTCAAGTGATATATATTTTCGTTTGTATTAGTTTGGGATTACTGTATTTGTATTTATATAGAATATTGAAAAGAATTTTACGAAACAAGTCTCAAAATTATATTCACTGCTATCAAAATTTATCTTATGCTATACATATTACAATTGCTACTGCATTACTTTTTATACTCCTAGCCGTGCTACAAATATTTGGAGCAATTAGCATATCGACAACTAGACCATTGATAACTCACATAAATTCAGAAATAGATTGGCTTCAGTGGGGCTATCAATTTTCTCTTAGACTGATAGAGATTGCTATCATAACACTCATTTCTTGGGTGACAGGTTTAAAAATAAGCAATGGTAGTTCTGTTAATAATATTGCAAATGTTGATGTACATCTGGAACCGACTAGTGGAGGACCAGGTGGTGTATTTGGGTCTAATACATCTGCAGGCAATCGAGAGAAGCAACACAGTCAATCAAATCATAATCATTCTAATGTAGCTGGATTTTTCTTACCGTGCACTACAACATCAAGTCAAGAACAATTTGAAACCGATTATCCTGCTGTTTGTAATACAAATACAAATTTACATACTTACACAATGAGGACCGGTAAGCTAATATATGATGATACTTTAGCTTTAAGTTCTCTTACAAGTCCAACAACTAAAGTAAACAGTTCTAATTACCAACTTCATCATTCTACATATCAACAACCATATGACAATAGTTTATTACATAACTCTTACAACCACAACATTAAATATTCAGAAAGTAACGGTTATGGTCAGGATCGTCAACAGTGTGGTGATTATTTCATTGATGCGACAAATGATCATTATGAAAATCCAAATTTTGAATTAGGTAGTTCAGGAACTATAAAAAATAATCAAAAGATTGGACGTAATTCAACAAACTCAACAACAGCATCAAGTAGTGCTTGTTCTAGTTCTGGTTTATCAGTTGCATCACAACAACAAATACTTTTGCAAAGCGAAAATTCATATTCAGAACCCTTAAATCAAACATGTGATACACTGTCAAGTTATAATTTCAATAATTTTGAGCGACCTAAGTTTAGTAACAACAGATCTGAAAATCATCAATCTCCTCAACAAGTAATGCCATTTAAGAGAGAAAAAAAATCATGTACTATATTAGAAAAAGCAGCGTATGAAAATTCAAAAAACCCTGGATATAATATGACACAATTCGTAACGAATAACAGCGAGGATGGAAGATATTCCATGTGTAACTCTTTTGATCGTGGACAAAATGGTGTACGTAAAAGTGGAACATTAAATAACAGTTTTTTGGGAAAAGATGGAGTTGTTTTTGGTGGCCGAAACTCTTCATCAACAACTAAATCTTCAAATATTTTACATAATTATCATCATAATACAACTGGCGTTCAAAATATATCAGTCGATCGTCATCCACAATTTCATGGAACACGTAACGCACGTACATCTGGTAGAAGCAGTTGCACTAAAAGTGGACGACAAAAAGATTCCGATGTTGTATTTGAACGTGCAACAATTGAACGTGTTAGTAGTCATAACTTGCAACAACATCCATTTAAATTGGATGATGACATGATGTTAGCAGATAGTAATGTAGAGCGTACCAATTTAATTAATAATGAAGATGGTTCTTGTATTTTAAATAGTAAATGTGAAAGTAATCCTGTTGCAGATATCTCTGTAAAAGAAGTTGGTTCTAACACAACAATACTTCAACATTTGAAAAATAAATCTCAGATTCCATGTAACGATATGCATTGCCAAAGTAGTAAAAATTTAAATGAAATTTCTAATTCTAGTTCAGACAATTCGAACAATTCGAACAATTCAGTTTCAGTATTGAATTCAAATTCAGAGAATATTTCAAGCGATGACATACTGATTGCAGAACTTGGATTCGTTAGGTTTCGACCTTTAGATGATATAAATAATGCTCAAGGTGTAGGCATTCATAATGCTTCACTTAGAAATCAAAAACATATAAATGTTAGCACTCAAAATTTTGCCTTTGAACCAATTGTTAGCGCTGGCAATAGTAAAATACTACATAAAAATAAGGTAACCTAAGATAATTTTCATAATTTTATATTTAATGATATAAGCAGGCTATATAAAGTGCGTAGTTATTTGGCCTAATATTTGTGATAAAACAATGTATATTTTATTTTAAGTTAATTAACGTACAACTCAAATAGTAATGAATTATGTATGCGGATATAAACGTCCATGTGATCTAAGCACTGAACCATAACATCAATTATTGTATATTCACTATTGATTTATAATTCTTATTCTTTAAATATGTAAATAACTTCAATACGCAAAAAAACATAAGAAATGTATTAATGGATAAAATAATATTTAAACATTATTTTAGGTTATTTAATTCATAAAAAACATATTCATACACAGATACAGTTAGTTATTTATATTCAAATTTATATTTCCCATTAAATTTGCAAAATACATATTTTCAAAAGTCTTTTTCCAAGAATAATTTTTAAATAATAAAAATACTATTTTTATTCATCTAAAGAAAAATATAAAATAATAAGTTATTCTTAAAATATATACAGGGTGTGGGTGGGTTTTCGCAATTAAGCAACTGAAATGTGATTCTTTGACCCAAGGAACGGAAAGAAAATGAAAGAAAGGAAATCTTACAATTTTCAGTAATAATCTTAAATTCAGAATGCTAAAGATAATTTGATCCGATAATGGATTGTTATAAAATCCTAGATATTTCGAAAGTAATATATCCGAACTTGCATCTTATACCAATTTCTGATAATTATATTTTCGCGGGTTTCAAAGAGATAAGAGATGAAATTTTTCTCTTATCTGTCGATTTCCTACAATTTGTTTCTAAAGTAGACTGCTTATTGTATTTTTCAGGATTTAAAAATGAATGTTTGTTTTTAAGAAGACTAAGATTGAGACCTCTTCCTATACAGTTTTTGTTCGGTTTTTGGATCACTGAATCATGTTTCATATTTATGTCGCTTCAATGTGGAACAGGAGGATGATACCTTGTAAAAATATATGTATAAACACAGTATGAATATAAGAAAATACTCGGCAATCGGCTGCTATTTTAAATATTAGATAAACTGGCTAGTGCTGCTTCCTTATGATTTTTTATGTGTCAAGTAGCAGCATATGAAGAAAATATAAAACAATAGTCGTCCAGTATAACGAGAGTCCAATTTAACGAAAAATGCTGTTATTGAATTTGTTTATATATATTTGAATACGGTTTGTGAAAAATTCGTTAAAGTGGACGTCTATTGAATAAAGTAAAAGTTTGGCAATCTATACGAATTACTACATAACAATGTCTTTTTGTGATACACCGAATCCGTATATTTTGTTCCAGGATATATTCAAATTGAAGTGAAAATTCTCATTTTGCCTTTGATTATTTATTTATTAGAGAGCATTTCTTAGATATACATTTGTCGGATTTAAGATTTGGTGTGGTAATTAAAACACTGCGGTATAAAAAAGCATGTAAAAAGAAAAAGTTCTGAAATGAATTTGTGAATTTCATAGTTTAAAAGTCTAAAAATTACAAATTGTGTGTTCCATCTGTTATCTGTTATTCCGTATATATGTTACCGCACGATATGTATTCAATATTGTACCGCACCGTACCACAAATAGAGTTAGACTTAGGGCTTATTTGCTATTTATGACATACATATGCATATTATTAAGTAATTTATTCCGACAATGTAAAACTATATCAAGTTCATATAAAAAATGAATCAAGTTTGTCAAGCACTGAGCTGTAAATACAATAAAAACACACCTATTTTAATATTCCAGTGTATTTTATTTTTATTATTATTATTTTTAAAATAACTCGAATAAAATAAATCTTTTTAAAACCATTAAACTAAAAAAAATAGTAATATTACAACTATAACAAACACACAAAGATTTACAGCACAAAATGACAGACGAAACTATTGTTGTAGATAGTGACTCAAAACGAATATAATCTATTAAAATTCATAGGATACTATACATACTATGTAATTTTTTGTTAAATTTCATCTTGCGGAGTTTTAAAATGGCATGAATTTTGAATGAACGTAAAAGCGATTTGTCAATAAACATAAGGTTACTAATAGTAGCTTCGTAATTTAACATTTGTTATTTATTTTCTCAAAACTATTCAAAAATGTATTCATATAGTCTTAAATTTAGTATATGTATATATATAGCAATGATCGAAAGATCAATCTGAAAACGTATTCTCTTACTTTAAGCAATTCTGTAGTTATACAGTATATGTATGTCTTATATAAACTAGTGTATATATATTATGCTCGTATATATGTATATCTATATATTCGCTTTTGCGCAGAATGAAAACAACAAATTCATTCTTTAATTTGAAAAATAATTTTTTATAAAATATTTAAGAATTATTGCTTCGCATTTGTTAAGTTCGTTATTCAAAATAATGATGTATTTGTACAAAAATTGAAATAATAATACAACAATAAAAGGTACAATTTTATGTTTATTATAGCCCTAAACATAGTATAAAAAATTTATCATTTCATATATATAACATATATTTGTTTTTTTAAAAGTTTAGTAACATCAAAACATTAATAATAATAAAATGTATAAATGTCTTCACAGAAATCATTTTTTATAATGTACTCAACGATTAATGCCGTTGCCTGTGTTACAGGTATCGCTAATTTGTACCTGTTTTGTTTGATCCAGAAAAGATATTCCATTTTTATATTTCAACTTTTCCCTAATCTTATATCCAGTTTCGAGACATGTTAATGTTTGAATCATTTTCTGCTAAGGATATACCCATCTGAGAATATCGCCAAACTAAAAGCTATAGTTTGGATAATGAAGAAAATACAAGCGAATTATTTTTGTATAGAAATCTTTCTCAGTTTAAGAACTGGTCTTTTTGTAGGAAGTTCAGAAATACTCATTAGTTTTATTATTTCAATCAAAGTGTTACGAAAAATAATATCGATTTGCGCAATAGTGCTAGAAACGCAATTAATATGATTCAAATATTTATATATATGTGTTGCAAATATATACGCATATATGTATAATTATATATATATATATGGAAATAATTATATTACAAATAATTGTATATATATACAAATAATTGTATATATATACAAATAATTGTATATATATAGAAATAATTGTATATATATACAAATAATTGTATATATATACAAATAATTATATATATATACAAATAATTATATATATATACAAATAATTATATATATATACAAATAATTATATATATATATATAAATAATTAGTAATATATACACACATATTTATACATATGTATTTATAAATGTATGCATATGTTGCATATTATAAACTTTTCACACTGAAGCTGATTTTTGTATTCTACTTGCCATACAAAATACATAATTTTAAGAAATGTATAAATGTTATGATATAGATATGATATATAAATAAATATAAAATGTAAAATAAAAATTCAATATTTATTATTTTATAATATTGTAAATAGTTAATTGTGCAAAATATTATATTAAACTTCTAACTGATTATTAAGTAAAACATTAAACTTCTCTTTGAATTAGCAAATATTGTATCAAATCATAAGAACATTAATATTATAATTTAATATACTTAAAACAGCAGAATTTTGAACTGATTAGCTCATGCTTAAGTATAAAATAGTTTACTTAAAACATTTGTTTCTAAAGAATAAATATAAAATTTTATCTTCGAATTATCGAAAAGATTTTAGAATTCAGTTAATTATGTCTTTATTTTATTGAAAATAAAAGCATTGAATTTAATTTAAATTACTTACTGGTGTTTTTTACTACGAAAAAAGCAAAACGTTAGCTAAAACATTTATGGTTAGCTATCGTCATTAATAATCAAAGCATTACATTAAATTGCAAACTTATTACATAATAAAATTTTTAAAATGTAGATTGTACCATAACTATCGTCTATTGTGATATTGCTTTCTTTAAATTCTTCTGTTGAGATAGATTTTCTTATTCTGGGTTTGTCCAATGCAAAACTATAGTTCTAGTCATTAATCAACTCCATACACAGTACATTAAGTTTTTAAATAATAAGTTTTTTTAATCGTAATTCTTTACTTTTAGATTGGCTGAAAAACGATTAATCAAATTGAAAACAAGATAAACAGCAACAATGCTTTTAAAAATGTTCAGACTTGTCTCGACTTGCAAGAATTAGTCAGACGTTGCAGGAAAAACTGTCTGTTGTGAATATTCATTCGAAATATGTTTACAATTTCCAAACAACTGTCGAAGAAAATTATAAGATATGCACATTTTAAAAAAATTACAGGCATCCACTTATCCAACAATAAGAAATAAAGTGTTATACCCTAAAACTAGAACTATTCCTTTAGCTAGTTAGCAGCACCATCAACAGTAAGACGTACCCTAAAAGTAACAAGCATACGATCAAGTTGCAAATAATGACCCAATTTACACTATCATGAAAGTAACATGAACATGAACTTGACTGCCGGTTACCGATAGATGAGAGAGGGAAGAGAGAGTGATGTTAGTTCATGAATTTCACGCCATGAAATTTGCTGCATTTTTTCAGCTTGACACGCATACATATGCAATGTTATGTTTATGTTTACCTTTTAATGCTCAATACTTTGAATTTCTGTGCTCTGCACTACTACATACAAGTATTTTATACGTTTACACAAAACAAAACAAATTTTACGCTCCATGACAGTTCATGATAGTGTGAACCGAACTGTCAGTTTATGTTGTTGTCAAGTTCATCTCACGTTCATGATAGTGAAAATAGGCTTAATAAGTCAAACCATACTTTTCCTAAGAAAAAATAGTCAGCAAACATACGGTAATACTGCAATGAGTCCACCAATCTAACTTCTTTCAAGCCCAAATAATCAACAAAGCGATGCGTTGATCAACAAAATAAGAGAATGATGAAATTGGTAACAGATGTGTAGTAAGTCTCTTCACGAAACAAGAACCTTAATATTGTGTTCATGTCCTTTAATATTGTATTGTGGAATGCTAATCTCTGTATGTGTTTTACATATTTTAAGATTTACTTTACCCAAAAATTTTTTTTAAAATTCCATCACGGAATCTTGGTGGAACGGTTCACGGAGGCACGAAATCCCGGTCACAAATTTTGTGTTAGAAGATACAGAATATGTCCAGATACATCTGGACATACTTTGTATCTGTTATGTGTAGTCCACCAACACGTACCATAAAGATGGAAGTTCACATAATATCACATTTTCCTCAACTTTGTGAAGTCTTTTCATACTCGGAACCTATCACAGTACAAAAAATTGAAGACCTCGTCTAACTACAGTTAAAGGAGGTGAA